CCCATTATTACCTAAAGGAAACAGCACAGTAAAGTACATTTTTAAAAGCTGTTAAAGGTGTAGTGTTTTATATTTTTTTGTGGCAGTTAACAGTCAAGATGACGCAGTCTACCCAAGAAGACTGGTCATCAGTAATATAAATACTGTACTGTACCATGAGAATGGGAAGATGCCCACTGGATGGACAAAATGTGGGGGACCTACATACTTTTTTGGCCCACCCTGTAAATGGGCGGAATGGGAATTAGTCTCATCTTTTTAACACGTGAAAACTTTATATAAATGCAATAACATAAATTAAAATGACAGGAAATGGGCAGTCATTTTGTCTCATAATTACTAATCATATTCCTTACATCATTACACAGTTATGCTAACCTGATATGCTAAATTGGACGCAAATAAACTTTGGTAGGATGGATGATTTAAGGGACAGGAATTTTTTGTTTTTAGGACAGGTAACACTGATCTAGCACATGGTGAAGAGTGATACCGAGGCATAAAGAGAAGAGATAAACTGAGCTTATACTCCGAGAAAGAGAAAAGGAAATGAGTCGAGTGGGAGGAGGAAGACAAGCATGGGTCAACACAAGACAAGCATGGGTCAACACAAGACAAGTATGGGTCAACACAAGACAAGCATGGGTCAACACAAGACAAGTATGGGTCAACACAAGACAAGTATGGGTCAACACAAGACAAGTATGGGTCAACACAAGACAAGTATGGGTCAACACAAGACAAGTGGGTGAGGAAGACAAGCATGGGTCAACACAAGACAAGTGGGTGAGGAAGACAAGCATGGGTCAACACAAGACAAGTGGGTGAAGAAGATAAGCATGGGTCAACACAAGACAAGTGGGTGAAGAAGATAAGCATGGGTCAACACAAGACAAGTGGGTGAAGAAGATAAGCATGGGTCAACACAAGACAAGTGGGTGAGGAAGATAAGCATGGGTCAACACAAGACAAGTGGGTGAGGAAGATAAGCATGGGTCAACACAAGACAAGTGGGTGAGGAAGATAAGCAGTGGGTATGGGATAAGACAGGTCAACACAAGACAAGTGGGTGAGGAAGACAAGCATGGGTCAACACAAGACAAGTGGGTGAAAGACAAGCATGGGTCAACACAAGACAAGCATGGGTCAACACAAGACAAGTGGGTGAGAAGACAAGCATGGGTCCACAAGACAAGTGGGTGAGGAAGAAGCATGGGTCAACACAAGACAAGTGGGTGAGGAAGATAAGCATGGGTCAACACAAGACAAGTGGGTGAAGAAGATAAGCATGGGTCAACACAAGACAAGTGGGTGAGGAAGATAAGCATGGGTCAACACAAGACAAGTGGGTAAGGAAGATAAGCATGGGTCAACACAATATAAGTAAAGAAGCAGTGAAAATAATACTGTATCAAAAAACCACACAATAAAAAAAAAAAGGAGACAGAAAGTAAAATGTAGGGAATAAAGACTAATGATAAACACACACACAAGGTGAAGGGAAACTGTAAAAAAAACATACAGTACATGAAAAAGGTATTACTTTATGTACAACAAACTGAGGAAGATGTCGGTCAAATTCCAATGTAAGTTATGTGGTTAAGGTCACACAAACAATGAGGCAGTGAATACATGGACTCATGAGTCTTCATTATACTGTACTGTATATATCCAATGATTCGTCACTAATGGTAACGAGGAAAAAAAAAATAATAAAATAAAAATAAATAAGCTTATCATTTTTTCTGTCAGCTCACCATTTTCAGAGGTTAGCAGCCACAGACATCAACACCACACCAACTCTGTCTGGCAGGTTGATTATATCTGTGTGTGTGGCCAGCAGGCAGGGAGTCCAAAGTGTTATCACATGACCCATCATGCCCCTACCATTAATGATGTTGGCTAATTTCAGTTGAGAGCGAACATGCACAAACACCATGTTCCAGGATCAACACCAGTTGATACTTTACCTTACTCATTACCTAAAAAACAAGGTAGCTATGTACAGCATATCACTACATTCAAATGGCACAAAATTAAAGACTTACACATTGTACAATATTATCCCTATGTAAAAGATGAACAAACCAAGTTGTTAATATACCTCTCTGAAATATTAGTTACCATTACATTGTTTATATGTGGATGATTTGTCTCCAAAGATTTAATTTGAGCTTAAGAATTTGGCTACACCATATAATTCTCACTAAATAATAAATGAAATTCAGACTCGGGTAATAAATATACAACACATCGACCATAATATAATAAAAATCACATTTTATTCATACCAGGAAAACTTTAAAGTTTTCTCAGCAGTGTTTAGAGGCAATCTCAAGCATTCAGAGGAAGTACAAAACAATACAATATTTTTATTTGAGCCAACATATGTACTGTACAGATGTGAACAGTGTGCCTATAGAACCAAAAAATCCACCTGGATTGAGGTCAGATGTCTCTCTTCAACCCAGGTTAATTTTTGTACATTGTTTGTGTCAACTTAAACTCACACTTGACTCTTAGTCAGTTTTGATCCCACAGATATACTTTTAACAACTGTACACATACTGCAGAGGCTAAAACAGAACAGCAGTCGTGTCACCTTGAACCTCCGAGATAACCCCTCAATCACTGAGCTGGTCAACATCTTGAAGACATAACTTACACTTCAGTTATATACATTATCCAACTTATCTCTCTATGCTCTTTGAACTACAGTACAATACGTACAGTACATTGGAAACAATGTGCCTTGTCAATGCTCTCAAAACTTACAAGTATACAATACAGTACAGTACAGTATGTTCTTTCACAGACCCTCTGAAAGGCCATGTAAAAATATTACAGTAGTTTGGCTCTAAAATAAGTTGTTTTAAAAAAGCAACACAGAAAGGCAGATTTTTTTTTTTTTTTACAAAATTTGAATATACAATACAGGGTACAGCACTGTATATTATAATTTTTGGCACTGATTTTTTTCATCTGAGAAACCGAAAAGATTTGGAATCAACTGAATTTGTATCCTTGAATACTGTATATTATCAGTGATGAACACAGATTTAATTAAATTTTCTGGAAGCAATAAAATAAATCCAGTAGCAGGTTTTTTGAGTACTACAGTACATGACAGTGAGCGACATCCAAACTATTGTATCTTTTACAGTGTCTCAGGAAGCAGGACTATAATTTAAGGTGTTGAATATTGCACTTGGGCTTTGTAAATAATAAATATACTCAACACACTAGAGCAGTGAATGAGGTAGGTTAGAAATTTTTCAGGTCTGAGGGAAAAAATTGGACACTTCCCTCTATCTCTACTGATTGTGAGAGAAGAAAGTGGACACCTCCCTCTATCTCTACTGATTGTGAGAGAAGATTGTGGACACCTCCCTCTATCTCTACTCTTTGTGAGGGAAGAAAGTGGACACCTCCCTCTATCTCTACTCTTCGTGAGAGAAGAAAGTGGACACCTCCCTCTATCTCTACTGATTGTGAGAGAAGAAAGTGGACACCTCCCTCTATCTCTACTGATTGTGAGAGAAGAAAGTGGACACCTCCCTCTATCTCTACTCTTTGTGAGAGAAGAAAGTGGACACCTCCCTCTATCTCTACTCTTTGTGAGAGAAGAAAGTGGACACCTCCCTCTATCTCTACTCTTTGTGAGAGAAGAAAGTGGACACCTCCCTCTATCTCTACTCTTTGTGAGAGAAGAAAGTGGACACCTCCCTCTATCTCTACTCTTTGTGAGAGAAGAAAGTGGACACCTCCCTCTATCTCTACTCTTTGTGAGAGAAGAAAGTGGACACCTCCCTCTATCTCTACTCTTTGTGAGAGAAGAAAGTGGACACCTCCCTCTATCTCTACTCTTTGTGAGAGAAGAAAGTGGACACCTCCCTCTATCTCTATTCTTTGTGAGAGAAGAAAGTGGACACCTCCCTCTATCTCTACTCTTTGTGAGAGAAGAAAGTGGACACCTCCCTCTATCTCTACTCTTTGTGAGAGAAGAAAGAGAACTGAGAGACAGAGGGAGAGAAAGTCGGTAAAATTTACATCTGTGTCTAATACTTTGTTAAACTGGAGAATATGTAAACATTTATGCCTTAAATCATTATATTAATAATACAATATCAACAAAAGCACATTAAACAATACTGTACATGTATATGTATATAAGAGAAATATAAGTCTGAACCTTTAACACACGACAATCATTGTTTGGAATACTGTACAGCACCTAACACTTGTCAACATCTGTAATACTGTACAGCACCTAACACTTGTCAACATCTGTAATACTGTACAGCACCTAACACTTGTCAACATCTGTAATACTGTACAGCACCTAACACTTGTCAACATCTGTAATACTGTACAGCACCTAACACTTGTCAACATCTGTAATACTGTACAGCACCTAACACTTGTCAACATCTGTAATACTGTACAGCACCTAACACTTGTCAACATCTGTAATACTGTAACACTTGTCAACATCTGTAATACTGTACAGGTAACATAATTGTCAAGCACTGTAATACTGTACAGCACCTAGCACTTGTCAACATCTGTAATACTGTACAGCACCTAACACTTGTCAACATCTGTAATACTGTACAGCACCTAACACTTGTCAACATCTGTAATACTGTACAGCACCTAACACTTGTCAACATCTGTAATACTGTACAGCACCTAACACTTGTCAACATCTGTAATACTGTACAGCACCTAACACTTGTCAACATCTGTAATACTGTACAGCACCTAACACTTGTCAACATCTGTAATACTGTACAGCACCTAACACTTGTCAACATCTGTAATACTGTACAGCACCTAACACTTGTCAACATCTGTAATACTGTACAGCACCTAACACTTGTCAACATCTGTAATACTGTACAGCACCTAACACTTGTCAACATCTGTAATACTGTACAGCACCTAACACTTGTCAACATCTGTAATACTGTACAGCACCTAACACTTGTCAACATCTGTAATACTGTACAGCACCTAACACTTGTCAACATCTGTAATACTGTACAGCACCTAACACTTGTCAACATCTGTAATACTGTACAGCACCTAACACTTGTCAACATCTGTTCATTATCTTCACAAGTGAAATTGGACAATTTTGAGATTCACATCCATTGTTATGATTATCAAGTGAGGTAACTAAAACTGATATAAAAATGCTTTCAAACTTGTAATCCTTCTTAGACCTTTATTAGCATCAGAGCTGACTTATGAGGACAGTACAAGGGATAACAAACTAATATATTGCAACATAACATCATGGTAGCTTCATAAGAGGTGTTACAATAGCATCTGAAGTTACAATATCGTCTAATGAAGTAATAACTGGCCACTGTTCAGGTAGGACAATTCTCTATAACTTTTAAAGATTCATCATGTACAATTTATCTTTTCTTCAGAAGCCATCACACACACACACACACACACACAACAATAAAGAAATGCTATAGCACCAAACCTTGTTGAGAGATAAGGATGTGTTCGACAGTAACTAACCATATAAATCATTGTTAACTACAGTGAAACCTCTATTTAACGGATTATATGGAGAGGAGAGTCCGTTATATGGAGGTTTCACTGTATGGGAAGTTTTCTAGGAGGTAGAGAATTATATCAACACAACAACCACTACTCACACATACAGTATGGTTCATCTGCTTCAATGTAGACAAAAAAAATTCTATATCTAGTTACCCTTTTAATGTGTACTAATTAATCATTACTCTAAAAGTTATCAAGCTCAGGTTAAGTAAAATCAGAGTACAAGTAGAATATCGAGTTCCTTTTCTTAAAGTTAGGTCTTTCTTCTAAGTCACTTCTACAGTGAATAGTATTGTCCCACCATTCATAATGAAACTTGAAGGTAATGAGGGAATATATAACTATACTTATAATTAAGAGCCATATTGTCCAACACTCGTGACAACCACTTTGATAAACTCTGCACTAACGCTACACTTCACATCTCCCTCCACCCACTCTTGATTTATTTAATGATCACTACAAGTTGTACTGATGGCTGCTTGTTGAGTCAAGTCATAATGTGGCTAAGATTCTTTATGCCATTTGCCTCTTTATACCCGGCAGTAACTGATTACCTGGATGTTAACTGCTTTGAGGATTGTGTTCCGAGGTAATGGTTCACCAGTGCAGTAGGTGAGTTCTCTGGTCTTGTTGTTGACCCTGAGTCATACAGTTCATTAACTTAGGGTATGGTTGTTATGTTAGCAACACCTTCTACACCTTAAGGATGTTCATGTCTAATGTAAGTGGCTCTAATGCCTGCCTGTCAACCAACCATTAATGTTATCTCAGCTAATTTGGGGTAATTTTTCTTTCTTTTCAATGTTTAACGGATTTTTTATCACGAATGTAAAGTTATCACATGAAAACATTTACCATATTATGTGACTCACTTAAGAACCTTTGAACATGTACAAGTTGTAATGATCACTAAATAAACTAAAGAGTTAGTAGTTAAGAGATCAGGTCTTGCCTAACTAAAGCTTATACTATTGCAACTATCAGTGTCAATTTACACAGCTCACCCTTAAACCCCCACAGGTGATCAGCTCATGGTAAGAGTGATTATGTTTTCCTAAATATAATGAATGTTGAGAACGAAGAAAGAGTATTACAGTAAAGGGTATTTCATACTCACAATTTTCCTTATGACAAGACTAACTCTATGAGATTAGACAATAATATCACAGCAAATTACAACAATCTAAAATCACCATGGCTGCAAGACAGACTTTAGGATCAACCATTAGAGTACAACAAACTGAACTGCATTCCTTGGGAGTCTAAAATGAATAATATTTTTCATGTTTCAAGTTCTATTTTGTGCACATTCTTTATGCCAAAAATCACAGCAGCTGAAATATTTGAGTGAAAATTCATGATATGCATTAATGAGCAGTAGTTAACTGAGAGGCAAATAAAAAAATAAATAGAAAATCACTTTAACAAAGAACTGCTTGTTGTAAATGAAAGTACATGGCAGCCAAAGCTCAGCACATTTCACTCATAAGTGAAGTGATACCACAGCACAGATCTTCCGTCTGGCAGTTAAAAGTTTTCACCAGAAGACTCGTCATCTTCCAAAGTTCACGCCATCATGTGCGACGTGCGTCGTCGGAGATGGAAGGGTCTGGACGCGGGCGGATAGATGCGAGACATTAAGCACAGGGCAGATCCCAGAGCCAAGCGATGGGTCGGTCCCTCTCCGTGACCCACGGGATTCCCTATCCCTCCGCCGGGTAACTGTACCATAACGGTTAACACGGCTGCAACTCCGTCGTCTGTCGGCTCCACCGCAAGAGGACCCACGTCGAAGCCGTCTCCGTATCGGTCTTTTTTAGTGGCTCGTTTTCGTCTGCCGGGAGACAAAGGAGTTGGGTCGGGTGGCACGTCGATGGCGTCTCGGCTAAATTCATCTTCTGCGTGAAGCACCAGCGTTGTGATGGCAAATGGTCTCTTTGCCATGTGTAGCATCTCCACCACGTGACGTCTCCTGGCCCGTCTTAGGTCAACGCCCTGCTTAATCTTCCAAACAACCACACATACAGCAAGAAACAAGAAAAAGCAAGAGAAAAACACAGAAAAGAAAACAAACAGGTCAATCCTGGGTTGATCTTGCCGGAAAAAGATTGAACCAAATGTATCCATCTCCCTCTCGCTGCCGATACCGTACACGACGACGTAAAACTTTGCCGAGCGTAAGTCATGAGTGTGCTGGGGAAGTGTTATTACTAGTCTGTTGCTAACATTTCTTACAATTAATATATCATTTGATCTTGATACCGTTGCAAAAGTTTTCAGTCCTTCGGCAACTTTTTCAATTAAGTGATACTCGGTAATCGTCGGTTGCGTCGAATTTACGACCAGCTCCTTCGTAGTAGGGATGGAGTTGCTGCTCAGGTCAAATAAATCAAAACCCGTGCCCACAAAATTCCTCTTGAGCGGCGCAGTAAACATAACAGGACCTGCTTCTTCTGCTATTGGGTAGTTAGTGTCAATTTCCACCTGCTGCTGGCCAGTGCTCTGGTTGACTGTGACAACAAAAGTGTCTTCTTTGGTGCTGAAGTACACGTCTGCACCGCCTTTTGTTACGTCCAAAATAAGTCGAATATCTACATTCATGAACTTTGGTTGAACGGCAAAAAAGACCGTCTGACCCAAGCTGAGGGTCGTAGGTTTAGTGTTACAATCATTCTGGGTGTTAGGATCGAGACAATACTCCTTCTCTACATTCATCTGTCTGTAACACTGATGACCATTACTCGGGTTTCCTAGATACGAGTCTTTACACTTAGCACACTGCTCCTGCCAACAGTATTTGTCCTCTTCTTTTTCAGTACTGACTCCTCTTGTCTTGGTACTTCCTGTGCACTGAGTGTCTGTGTTATTCCCACAGTTACAATCTGTACCCCAGACCGGATCGCACGTTGTGCCGTGACCATTGCACTGACACGGGCGACACGGGTATCTCATGTCTTCCATGCCCCGAAAGTAACCAGGCAGACAGCTGTCACATTTAGAGCCGGTGGTGTTGTTTGTACAGTCGATACACACTGCATCAGTTCTGGCCCCTTGAGTAACTTTGAGCTCATTTATTATGTCTTTCTCAGTATCCCAATGAGATGTTATGTTGAACTTAGGCACAAGTTCTTGAGGAACACAACTACTAGCATGTGTGTTACAATAGTCATAACAACTAATACAATCCCCATTGTTTCGAGGGTCACCAACAAACAGGGGCTTACATTTTTCACACTGATCACCCATTGTGTTATTAAAACATTCCAAGCAAACGTCTAACTTGTCGGGGCCTTCACAGTTTGCATGGCCGTTGCAGTTACATTTAATGGAACAATCGGTGCCTACGTAGCTAAAATTACAAGTACAATTGTTAGGTTCGATGCAAGTTCCAAAAACACATCCTTGCGAACAGACCGGAATGCAGTCGCCATTTTCTGTCATGTTATACCCGGGAGCACACACACACTCATATCCTTCCTCAACATCCACGCACGACTGACTCTTATCATCGCAGGTGTGATGACTGTTCTTACACTCGTCTTCTTTGGGGCAAACATCATAATGCCAAGACTTAGGAGGCGTTGTAATAACCCCGACCGGGTCCTGGTATAATCGGGCATTAAGACCGAGGCCGTGGAGGGAGCTGACAGAGTCGTTGGCAATAAAGTGAGAAAAGTCACGGTTGTGGCAAGTGCCAACATGTGGACCTTCTAGTAGGCCTTGTGTGCACAGCCCTAACCCTCCCACTGGTGTGTCCAGGGCACACCACCCACACTGTGGCTGGCTCAGACACTGGGAGCACTGGGTGAATTCCTCACAGGGTCGTGGACACTGACCTTCGTCGCCTGTCAAAATGCGGCCGCAAGTGCCACCCAAGCAGCGTAATGCGATGTAGCTGGGTGAGAGACACTCCTTGAGTGATGGTGACCAGTAACATTGCTGCCAGCCTCCCTCTGCTCCTTTGGCACTTAAACATTCATGACAAGTGGTGTGATAGTGACAACGGACAGGGCACTTGCGGGGTGGGGAAGTTTCCTCCAAGTAGGATGAATGTCTCTGAATCATACTTTTCACACAGCTCCAGTTATAAATGGGCATGATGTGCAGGGTATAACCCACCTCTGAGGAGCGCAGAACTTGCCTTGTCCAGATACACTTGCGGAGGCTTCCACACTTATCGCAGTCGGAAGCGACGCAAGTTCCTCCGTGACATTTGTCGGACTCCATGATAATGTAGCGGCCAGAGCCACTATCATCTCTCGCTTGAGAATCACACAGGTTCTCTTGTGCACAGTCACTATCCCGAGGTATACATTTTCCTTTGGAACAGCTGAGGCACCACTGGCAACGCTGTTCTGAATGTGGGTGAGCGGGCCACTCGGCCAAGCACTCGGTGCACGACGTGAGTTGGTAACAGTCGTCATCCTCTAACAATTTTGCATCGCAGCGAACGCCCACCACACTACTCTTTCCATGGGGAGCATTCTGGCACGTGCTGGGTTCCTCTCTAGTGTTGGAGTAACAGTAAGACGTGTTAGTGCCCGAACTGTCATGAATCACACAGTTGGCACATCCGATGACATCGCGGCACTGAGTCAGATTGGCATTGAGTGTGCACAGATCAGGTGGTATTTTTATTTCCACCATCGATCCTTGAAGAGTGCCAAAATAGCCACCAAATACATAGATAGTTGAACCATACACTGCTGCACTAGTTCCTATGAGTGGAGTTATCTCATGACCCACCAGAGTGATAAACTTATCATTAAGAGGGAACCACATGTTGCATTTATACGAGTACACCAACAACCCCTGTTTGGAGTCTCGATGATCTGTGATGTCGCCCCCGATCAACACCATGTAATCTCGCGTCGTGACTGCCGAATGGAACGTTCTAGGAGCGGGGAGAGAAGCCGGATTATGGTTTGTTCCGCGGTCCGGAGGAAGCACCGACCACTTTTTGCGAGTGTAGTCCAAAGCATAAAGGTCTGGAAAGTGGTCTACTTTATCGATTTTAAAAGAATATCCACCATACACATAAAAAGTCTTTGTGCCTCCATGATACACGGTACTGTGACCGTATATGCCAACGGGGATGACACCACTCGTCTGCACGCTGTTCCACTTCCCACTGGTCAAGTTGTATTCCCACACTCGTTCCAGAAAGCCATAATCTGAGGACGCTCCACCAATGAGCACCAGTGACTGAGACTCGGCTTCGCTGCAGTAAGTTAGAGAATGACCGGCAAGACGAGGTAAATCGGGGTGAGGCTTCAACTCCTTCCAGCTCTCTGAATCAATGTTAAACTTCCATAAGTCCTTTAAAAATGATGTTTGATTCAGTCCTCCATACACATACATTTCTCTCTGATTTGGTACGTAGGCAGCCGCGTGGAAGTATCTGCCCGGAGGAGGCTGACGCCCCGGCTGTACATTCACCGTCACCTGCTGCCACACGTTGCTGTTGTTGTGAGTGTCAAACTGTTGTATGTCATAAAGCGGACCACGTGACAACGAATAGCCACCAAATACCCACAGTGATCCGCGGTGATCCACAATGAGGGAATGTCCCATGCGTGGCAGTACTGTTGTCAGGTGAGATAGAGATGATGCAATCTTGTCAGGGGCAAACAGCTGTGTCACCACAACCTGTAAATAAACATTTATTTTAGATATTCTTTTGTTAATAAATCTGAGGCGTCAAATTTTATGCCAACTTTGGACACCACAATGAGCTAAATATAAAATACAAAACAACTTAAGTTTCCTCCCAAACCTTACTTCAATTAAATAACAATTATTCTCTGTACCTCCTCCTTTCTTATTACAGTATTATACTGTATTATAGTTTTTTCATTCTTTGAGACAGATGTATGCAGATGATCATGTCTTACACACACATTAATATGGGGTTATGAAACAGTGTGTACAGACTACAACACATGGAACAATACAGTACCTGATGATCACGCTGAACAATACTACAATCTTCTCCCACAAATCCAGGCGTACAGATGCAGCGTCCATAGCTGGAGTCACATTTGCCTCGTCCTTCTGCTTCAGAGCATTTGTTGGGGCAGACGGGAATATCGCAGTGAACTCCCCGCCACTTATCGTTGCACACGGGCTTGTTGTTGACACAAGCATGGTTGTGAGACTTTCTCTTTGTACAATGTAGAACCTCATAGCTAGCATTAAATCCTTGTCCGGGATCATTTTTTTCATAAAACACTGTCATCAGTCCAGACACAGCCTGTACGGTCACTGGGTAAGACGCCTGACTTGTACACAACGCTCCGACGATGTGGTTTTCCCGATTCCAACGTGAATTACGAGAAACAAAGTTTGGTAATCCATCGTATACATAGAGTACTCCTTCTCCACACTCTATGTTCATTTCTTCTATTGTTATCTGAATGATGGATGTCCTGAAAAAGGATATTTTTGTTAATATGTAATACTGTGATGATAATATAAATGCACGCACACATACACACAAAATAAAGACCAGTGTGTATTTAGCATCACTGTGATTCATTATAAATCACTGGCACATAACTACACAGTAAGGAGGAGTACCCAGGTGATCCCAGCAGAGTTCCCTCCTCATCTTAAGTTACTGTGCTGCTCTTAGGTAAAACACAAAATGTTTTGCTTTTTAGTGCATACTGGAGGACTATACTGTATACCCCAACATGCAGCAAATGTAAGTATAATGTCTAGTTTACTGTAGACTGTACCAAGTAAATAAGAAAAAGATCATTCAAAACTTTGAATTTTTTTTTTCTTTTGTCTGACAAAACAATATTTGAAGTACCAAATCAATCTCCTCTATACATATTAGAGTAGAGTAGAGTACAGTACCTCTCATGGGAAAATACTTACCACACTTTCATCAGAAATAAAGTACAAAACAACAGTCATTGCAGCCTCACTCATGGACACATACCACAGGTAATGTAAACAATTTTACACTGATTTGTCTGTGTAGATTATTGTACAGGTTCTGGTATAAAAACACAAACATTATTATACTAATTTACCTCCTATAAAATTCCTGTCAACTTTAAGAATATTCTGATAATTCTGATAATTAATCATATCCACTTGCATACTGTACTGGAGTAGTTACAGTTGACACTATATCTAAGAGGTAGAAGGCTGGCTCTCATGGGATTATTCAAGAAAAGTAATCCAGTACTGTAGTACAGTAGTGTAGTGTAGTGTGCCTTTTCTCCTTAATACTGTACAGTACAATACCACAGAGGAAACAGCTTTCTTTTTCTTTGTGTTTTCAGTGTTCAATAATACTCATGGGCAGCTATAATGAAATATTCAATCACAATAACCTGTACAGTACAGTACATTACAGTACTACTTTCCTACACCACATCTATGACAATAAGTGGGTGTCACTGAATATATATATACTGTATATATTAATAATAATAATTAACTGTTTATTGAAAAAGTCGGCAGCCCGAAGGCTGAAAATATGCTTTGGACAAAAATGACTTATTACATACAAAGCCATGAGGTGGGTGGGTCGCTTAACAAAAGTTTTCATTACTAAAAGAAGAAGAAACATGAATTGAACATACAAAATATTATAGTTTACAGTTGATGGCCCCAGCCTGGACTGGTCATGGAGACACCGGGTGGTATGGTGTTCACGTGGTACAGTAACTCGTCCTCGGGTATTGATATGTAGGACATTACGTGGTCATGGGGACACCGGGTGGTGTGGTGTTCACGTGGTGCAGGAACTCGTCCTCGGGTGTTGATATGAGGGACCTCACGTAGTCATGGAGACACTGGGTGGTGTGGTGTTCACGTGATGTAGTAACTCGTCCTCGGGTGTTGATATGAAGGACATCACGTGGTCATGGGGACACCGGGTGGTGTGGTGTTCACGTGGTGCAGGAACTCGTCCTCGGATGTTGATATGAAGGGCCTCACGTGGTCACGGGGACACTGGGTGGTGTGGTGTTCACGTGGTGTAGTAACTCGTCCACAGGTGTTGATATGAAGGACCTCACGTGGTCATGGGACACTGGGTGGTGTGGTGTTCACGTGGTGTAGTAACTCGTCCTCAGGTGTTGATATGAAGGGTCACGTTCATGATATGAAGGACCTCACGTAGTCATGGGGACACCAGGTGGTGTGGTGTTCACGCGGTGTAGCAACTCATCCTCGGGTGTTGATATGAAGGACCTCACATAGTCATGGGGACATCGGGTGGTGTGGTGTTCACATGGTGCAGTAACTCGTCCTCAGGTGTTGATATGAAAGACCTCACGTAGTCATGGAGACACCAGGTGGTGTGGTGTTCACGTGGTGTACTAACTCATCCTCGGGTGTTGATATGAAGGACCTCACATAGTCATGGAGACACCGGGTGGTGTGGTGCTCACGTTGTGTAGTAACTCGTCCTCGGGTGTTGATATGAAGGACCTCACGTGGTCATGGGGACACCGGGTGGTGTGGTGTTCACATGGTGCAGTAATTCGTCCTCAGGTGTTGATATGAAAGACCTCACGTAGTCATGGAGACACCAGGTGGTGTGGTGTTCACGTGGTGTACTAACTCATCCTCGGGAGTTGATATGAAGGACCTCACATAGTCATGGGGACACCGGGTGGTGTGGTGTTCACATGGTGCAGTAACTCATCCTTGGGTGTTGATATGAAGGACCTCACGTGGTCATGGAGACACCGGGTGGTGTGGTGTTCACGTGGTGTAGTAACTCGTCCTCAGGTGTTGATATGAAAGACCTCACGTAGTCATGGGGACACCGGGTGGTGTGGTGTTCACGTGGTGCAGTAACTTGTCCTCGGGTGTTGTATGAAGGACATCACGTGGTCATGGGGACACCGGGTTGTGTGGTGTTCCGCGTGGTGTAATAGCTCGTCCTCGGGTGTTGATATGAAGGACCTCCGCTGGTCATGGGCACGGGTGGTGTGGTGTTCACGTGGGTGTAGTAACTCATCCTCGAGTGTTGATATGAAGGACCTCCACGTGGTCATGGAGACCCGGGTGGTGTGGTGTTCACGCTGGTGTAGTAACTTCGTCCTCAGGTGTTGATATGAAAGACCTCACATAGTCATGGGGACATCGGGTGGTGTGGTGTTCACATGGTGCAGTAACTCGTCTCGGTGTTGATATGAAAGACCTCGCGTAGTCATGGGGAACACCGGTGGTGTGGTGTTCACCGGTGTAATGTCGTCTCGGGTGTTGATATGAAGGACCTCGCATTAGTCATGAAGACACGGTGGTGTGGTGTTCACATGGTGCAGTAACTGTCATCGTTTGATATGAAGGACCTCACATAGTCATGGAGAAACGGGTGGTGTGGTTGCGTTATGTGTGGTAATCCTCAGGTGTTGATATGAGGACCTCACGTGAATGGAGACACCGGGTGGTGTGTTCCGCGTGGTGTAGTAACTTCGTCCTCAGGTGTTGATATGAAAGACCTCACATAGTCATGGGGACAGTCGGGTGGTGTGGTGTTCTCATGGTGCAGTAACTCGCTCCTCGGTGTTGATATGAAAGACCTCACGTAGTCATGGAGACACCGGGTGGTTGAGTGTTCACCGGTGTAGTAACTTCGTCTTTCGGGTGTTGATATGAAGGACCTCCGTGAGTCATGAAGACACCGGGTGGTGTGGTGTTCACATGGTGCAGTAACTTCGTCCTCAGGTGTTGATATGAAGGACCTCACATAGTCATGGAAACACGGGTGGTGTGGTGCTCCGCGTTGTGTGTAACTCGTCCTCAGGTGTTGATATGAAGAACCTCCGTAGTCATGGAGACACCAGGTGGTGTGGTGTTCACGTTGTGTAGTAACTCATCCTCGGTGTTGATATGAAGGACACCGCGTGGTCATGGGGACACCGGGTTGTGTGGGGTGGTGTCACAGTACCCTGGGTGATGCATTGTGTTATTTCGAAGTCAGGTGTGAAGCTGACCCTGTGTGTGTGTGTGTGTGTGTGTGTGTGTGTGTGTGTGTGTGTGTGTGTGTGTGTGTGTGTGTGTGTGTGTAAATAATAATAATAAATAATTAACGGTTTATTGAAAGAGCATAGCAGCAGAAGGCTGAAAATATACAATTACATAATTGAGGGAATGGGTTTGATTTACAAATATTATACAAGTAACATAAATGATACAAATAACATATATAATAACTAGGTGGGGAGAAGCTCAAACTACAGGGCAATTCAACATAGTGACGATGCAAGGAAGTAGTGTTTACTGGGAGTGAATACACTGGTTTATTACAAGTTATTGATATTTTACAATGGTTGGGACTGGGCTGTTCTTATAGCGACAGTTAGTTGCTGCATATGGGCTGGATGCGGTTGTTGGTGTCGAACAGCAATTCTCGGGCTAGGGATCTCAGGTAGAGAGGTGTGTGTGTGTGTGTGTGTGTGTGTGTGTGTGTGTGTGTGTGTGTGTGTGTGTGTGTGTGTGTGTGCGTAGCGTGTGTGTGTGTGTGTGTGTGTGTGTAATAATATAATAATAATTAATGGTTTATTGAATAAATTCTGCCCCCGGCGTCTGAAAATATACATTGGACATAAATGACTTATTACAATACATTGGTGGTTTAACAAAAGCCTTCATTAGAAAGGTAAAAGGAACATACAGTGAACATACAGATTAATGTAGGTGTTGAACAGCAAACTTCGTAGTGTAGTAGCTCCCCCCAGATGGTTATTGAGGAACTCGTGGTGTAGTAGTTCCTTCAGATGGTGTTATGAGGACCTGGCGTGGTGTAGTAATTCCCTTGGAGATGGTGTTATGAGGGGCCTCACGTGGTGTAATAATTCCCTCACAGATGGTGTTATGAGGAACCTCACATGGTGTAGTAATTACCTCACAGATGGTGTTATGAGGGACCTCCGTGGTGTAATATTCCTACCACAGATGGTGTTATGAGGGGCCTAATGTGGTGTAGTAACTCCCTCACAGATGGTGTTATAGGGAGCATCACGTGGTGTAGTAATTCCCTCACAGATGGTGTTATGAGGGGCCTCGCGTGTAGTAACTCCTCACAGATGGTGTTATGAGGGGCATCACGTGGTGTAGTAATTCCCTCACAGATGGTGTTATGAGGGACCTCATGTGGTGTAATACTCCCTCACAGATGGTGTTATGAGGGACCTCCGTGGTGTGTTCCCTCACAGATGGTGTGATGAGGACTTGGTGTAGTAATTCCCTCACATATGGTGTTATGAGGGACATGTGGTGTAGTAATTCCTCACAGATGGTGTTATATAGGTGAGTTTGGTCTTAGGCCTTCCTATCGTAGGCGGATTAACACACCTGGTTGTTGTTGGGTCTCAGGGCCATTATCACTGGTACCTGGGACCTCACTGTGTGAAGATTAACTTGGGTACGACTGTTACTGTTGAGTTGTTCTGCACTAACGCACTGTTCACCACTGTTCACCTCTGTTTAACACTGGTTCTGTTCCTTTCTGGAAATGGTAACTTCTGGCGAGAACTTGTTGATATTCGGTGGGAGGAGGGTTCAGGGAGGGTTGGTATGGGCCCACTTAACAGTTGACCTGGCTGCTCGAGAGGCGCCAGGTAATCTTGACCCTTCGGTGGTCAGGATGTGTATAATGAGTGTGTGTGTGTGCGTGTGTGTGAGATATATTAATAAAACAATTACTTGTCAAGAAAAGAGAAGGTGTGCACAACTTAGTACCATATTTGAGATATATATATATATATATATATATATATATATATATATATATATATATATATATATATATATATATATATATATATATATATATATATATATATATATATATATAAAAACAAATGTACACAACTTACTCAGTCTGAAGGTTTGACAAGTGGGTCCAGAGGTGCTGGCAGTAATGATCCACATACAGGTTGCGGGTGACTCCAAGCCAGTTGTCTGGGCTCCCAGGTAGCCAGATGTTGCATCAGTGAGAATTGCGTGCACTACCTCTCTAGCAGCGACACTCCATTCTTGGCGGGTCACCATAAAACCCTAAGAGAGGATCAATATTTTACCGGAGAAGTTTGCGAGTGATATAACAATCAGGTTGGTTATGACACAGTACTGATGGTTAGTTATGACACAGTACTGATGGTTGGATTATGACACAGTACTGATGGTTAGTTATGACACAGTACTGATGGTTAGTTATGACACAGTACTGATGGTTAGTTATGACACAGTACTGATGGTTATTATACACAGTACTGATGGTTAGTTATGACACAAGTACTGATGGTTGGTCTGACACAGTACTGATGGTTAGTTATGACACAGTACTGATGGTTAGGTATGACTAGTACTGATGGTTAGTTATGACACAGTACTGATGGTTAGATTATGACACAGTACTGATGGTTAATTATGACACAGTACTGATGGTTAGTTATGACACAGTACTGATGGTTAGTTATGACACAGTACTGATGGTTAGTTATGACATACTGATGGTTAGTTATGACACAGTACTGATGAGTTAGATTATGATACTGATGGTTGATTATGACACAGTACTGATGGTTAGTTATGACACAGTACTGATGGTTAGTTATGACACAGTACTGATGGTTAGTTATGACGTACTGATGGTTAGTGCGACACAGTACTGATGGTTAGTTATGACACAGTACTGATGGTGTTATGACATAGTACTGATGGTTGAATTAGCACACAGTACTGATGGTTAGTTAACTACAGTACTGATGGTTAGTTATGACACAGTACTGATGGTTAGTTATGACACAGTACTGATGGTTAGATTATGACACAGTACTGATGGTTAATTATGACACAGTACTGATGTTTAGTTATGACACAGTACTGATGGTTAGTTATGACACAGTACTGATGGTTAGTTATGACACAGTACTGATGGTTAGATATGACACAGTACTGATGGTTAGTATGACACAGTACTGATGGTTAGATTATGACACAGTACTGATGGTTAGGTACACAGTACTGATGGTTAGTTATGACACAGTACTAATGGTTAGTTATGACACAGTACTGATGGTTAGTTATGAAGAGTACTGATGGTTAGTTATGACACAGTACTGATGGTTAGGTATGACACAGTACTGATGGTTAGTTATGACACAGTACTGATGGTTAGTTTGACACAGTACTGATGGTTAGGTATGACACAGTACTGATGGTTAGATTATGACACAGTACTGATGGTTAGTTATGACACAGTACTGATGGTTAGTTATATCACAGTACTGATGGTTAGTTATGACACAGTACTGATGGTTGGTTATGACACAGTACTGATGGTTAGTTATGACACACAGTACTGATGGTTAGTTATGACAACAGTACTGATGGTTAGTTATGACACAGTACTGATGGTTAGTTACTACACAGTATAGATGGTTAGTTATGACACAGTACTGATGGTTAGTTATGACACAGTACTGATGGTTAGTTATGACACAGTACTGATGGTTAGTTTTGACACAGTACTGATGGTTAGTTATGACACAGTACTGATGGTTAGTTATGACACAGTACTGATGGTTAGTTTTGACACAGTACTGATGGTTAGTTATGACACAGTACTGATGGTTAGTTATGACACAGTACTGATGGTTAGTTATGACACAGTACTGATGGTTAGTTATGACACAGTACTGATGGTTAGTTATGACACAGTACTGATGGTTAGTTATGACACAGTACTGATGGTTAGTTATGACACAGTACTGATGGTTAGTTATGACACAGTACTGATGGTTAATTATGACACAGTACTGATGGTTAGTTATGACACAGTACTGATGGTTAGTTATGACACAGTACTGATGGTTAGTTATGACACAGTACTGATGGTTAGTTATGACACAGTACTGATGGTTAGTTATGACACAGTACTGATGGTTAATTATGACACAGTACTGATGGTTAGTTATGACACAGTACTGATGGTTAGTTATGACACAGTACTGATGGTTAGTTATGACACAGTACTGATGGTTAGTTATGACACAGTACTGATGGTTAGTTATGACACAGTACTGATGGTTAGTTATGACACAGTACTGATGGTTAGTTATGACACAGTAATACTATTTTACTTACCTGTACTAATGAGGGAGTTGACTTACCTGATACCATGTACTACTGTGAAACCTCCATATAATGGACTTTCATCTCTGTAGAGTTCATCATATGGGGGTTTCATTCACATGTAAAGGACCCTTGACATGATAGACTTTCCTCAGTCCATTAAACAGAGGTGATGACTTACCTGGTAAACACTTGGAACAGTTATGTCCGTCAGTGTTGTGGAGACAGAAACACTGGCCGGTGGTTTGGTTACACTGGCCGAGTGTTTCGTCCCAGTGGTTGTTGCAATTACACATATGGCAGCCGATAGTTGTAGCATTGCCAAAGCTTCCTGGCCTGAATAAAAAAAATATATACATTTCTAAAAAAAATCACATAAAGATCAAAGGATTATTATTGACACACACACACAAAACTACTATGTCCGTATATTCTTATTCATACTTGTGAACAAAAGCAATCGAATATTCTTACCGACACAAATGGCAGAACTCCCCATCTGTCCAATTTTGGCAATTATCGCAGATGCCGATCCCTTTGTGGCAAGTGGAGTGGTTGTGACAGCCACAGTTGGTAGCACAGTCTGGCCCCATCCACCCAATGTCACACTTACACTTATAATCTGGATTTCCTGAGCAGAATCCATGAATGCAGGTTTCATAACAGCTGCAATGTATTGAAATTTCATAATACTGTAATATATTTAAATGTAGGTTCATAATACTGTAATGTTTTGAGTTTTATAATAATGTACACAACTGTATGTTGCTAACAGCTATAATGTATTGAACTATAGTCAGGGTTTAAATAATGGAGAAAACCTTTACAAAACTAACAATTATAAAAGATCTCAATCAAAACCATATATTGTTTTCTTCATAAAAGTAAGATCAAAATAAATCTCTTATGCTGGTCAGAAAAAAATAAAACATACTTTCATAAAAATATTTCACTACACAAAAATTTAAGGCAACATGTTCAAACGTAGCCAGCTATTATACTCACGTTCTTTCACAGGTGTCGTGTCCATTTCCGTGAAAGCCTCTGTTACAAGTGCAGTTGTATCCTTGGTGTGTGTTGGAGCAGGTGGCATTGGGATGACAATCTTGAAGAGACAATTTACATTCATCTACGTCAGGACAAGAAGCGTACGCCCAATTACTTTCTGGAACTTGCAGGTCCACTACAATTGATGCATTCTCGTGGGCAGCTTGAAGAAGAGGATCAATGAGGCTGGCACAATCCCCTGTAACAATACATTAATGCAGGACTTTGTTAATGTTTTCAATATTAAAAGACTCCAGTCCATCTAAGAAAGATACACAAAGATTTGATGTGAATTTTTATACTGAATTTACTTCTGTGAAGATGGAGGTGTAACTCAGCAGCCAGCTGACTGTGGTGTGAAGATGGAGGTGTAACTCAGCAGTCAGCTGACTGTGGTGTGAAGATGGAGGTGTAACTCAGCAGCCAGCTGACTGTGGTGTGAAGATGGAGGTGTAACTCAGCAGCCAGCTGACTGTGGTGTGAAGATGGAGGTGTAACTCAGCAGCCAGCTGACTGTGGTGTGAAGATGGAGGTGTAACTCAGCAGCCAGCTGACTGTCAGCTTCAGTAAAGTGAGACAGTTGTTAAGGTCAACAAGGGTGGGAGAAGTTTACACAATACTGTACAGTATAAGTTTATATAAGTTACACAAAAGGAAATTATATTCATGTATGAGAGGTAACAACTGTATAAGACTACTATACTTAATGTATGCATACCTGACAAACTATAGCGAGAAATGTCATGTGTCAATACAGTATAATAGAACACGAAGAAATTATCAAAGTAAAAAAAACTAATGGTTAATGACAGAACTGTAGTACTGTGCCATGAGGAGTACTGTAGCTACTTACAAACAACTGTTGAGGCTATTTTACCTTTTTCTGGTTGTGAAAAATCTCCAGCAGTGCAAATGCCAATGGTTGGGTTAAACACATTGTAACACCAACCACAACTCAGAGACTCCAAACAAGCTTCACATGAATGAAGACTCTCACAAACATGACATTCCAGAGTGTCTAATAATATTCTGAAATACAAAAATAAAAGTCTATTACAGTATTAACATCTCTCAATCACTACCATAAAATATTTATATTGGAACAGTACAGTGGTCCCTCGGTTAACGAACGGTTCGATTAATGAAATTTCGGTTAACGAATTAGCTCCCATAAGGATTTTCAGTTCGATTAACAAAAGCCTTACGACAAACACGTTTTGTTGTGCGCATCAGCTGATCGGCTAGTCCGCCAATACAGTAATTGGTTCTATGTTTACATTCGTTTCTAGTGAAGTAAATATCAAGAAAGTTGGTCTCTTGAATATTTCTGCATTTTTACATAAAAATTATTGGTCACTCTGAAATTTAGATAACATATTGATAATATACAGTGCAGAAATTATTATGAAACATGAAGAAGGCATTAGAACCAATGCACTCTGTAAAGAATATGGCATGTCATCATCAACTGCCTCTACAATCAGCTGTTTGATATGTAAACAAAGCTGCCGGTAATACGGCATACACACCTCAAAGCAAGTTAAAATAGAGAACAGTAATACCTCGGTTTACGCGGGTTTCATTTACGCATTTTGTCATTTACGCGGTACCCTGCCAGAACCGGAATGCCCAATTTACTCGGTGCATCTACTCATACGCGGAGAGCAGCTACTAACGTAAGTGTTAAACCTAACCTTGATTTTTTCTAACCTACGTGTTAAACCTTGATTTTTCCTAACCTAACCTAACCATACATAAGTGTTAAACCTTGATTTTTTTCTAACCTAACCTAACCTGACGTAAATCGGGGTATTACTGTATTGTATTGTTTTTTATATATTATTATACAGTATACAGTACAGGTAGTTCTGCTATAACGCGATAATTGTGTTCTTGTAAAATATCGTGTTATAGAAAATCGCGTAATAGAAATAACAGGGCTTATGGAGAAAATAGGGTTAGGTGCAGATTACTCGAAATCGAAAAAATTTAGTATTTAGCCTAACACAAAGGATAGCACAGTCTAAATAAATGTTACATTCATATCTAATAATGAAATCATACAGTAAATTTAACACTTTACCTTGAAAAAATATGAATGTAACTTGATGGGGGAGAAGGGTGATTTTGAGGTTGATAACATTGAGCTTCTCTTCAAGTGTTATATCCTTTCTTTTACGATAATCACCGGGAATTCTATCATCAGAGCGCCTTTTGGAGATATTCTTCTTTACCATATTCACAGTTAATACCACAAAATTGGAGAAATAGTAAGCAAAAATCGCGTTATAGCAAACAAGCGTTCGCGTTATACAAATATTGTTCCGAATTCATAAATCGCGTTAGAGCAAATTCGCGTTATCAAAACACGCGTTATAGCAGAACTCCCTGTACAGTACTGTATTTAGTTTATATTTAATGTTTTGTTAATTCTATCACTGGTATACAGTACTTTGTATGTACTTTTTCTTTGAGTTGAAACCAATTACCCAATATCCCATTGAAATAATAGATTTGATTAACGAAATTTTCGGTTAACGAACGACTCTGTGAAACAAATTGTGTTCGTTAACCGAGGGACCACTGTATATATAAACACAATCTGGGCCTTTCACTACCACTAAAACAACATCCTCCTCCCACCCACTTCATCAAATGATCCATCATATTTCTCAACTTATATTCTGATTTTTATGATAATTACCGATTTGGTCCAAATCTCACACACACCCAAATTAACGTATGCGTCACCAGCCTGGTCGTCTTCTCTCAACTCTACCCAACAACGCCAGCTAGAGAAGGCAAACAAAAGGGCCTGCAGAATCATGCTCGGCGCAGACTACTCCGGCTACAACAACGGTCTCTCCACCCTGGAAATGCCATCCCTCAGTGACTTCCACCACCAAGCACTAGCAAGGTTTGGCAGTGGGCTACTGCACCATCCTCGTCACCGCCACCTCCTGCCACCGGCAGTCCCCCACCCATCTCGCGCAGTCCGCCACTACAACAAAATTCAGCCCATAAGAGCCCGCACTGACAGATATAAGAATAGCACCATTCCATCTATTGCTAAAATAATAAACAACTCCTGATTTATGTACTGTACAGCCCTGTAAATGTATTCAACGCATATCATTATGTCTAAATCAAATGTAAGTTTGTATATTTTCAGCCACCGGCTGCAACTCTATTAATAAACCATTTATTATTATTATTATCACACACACACACATTATTTCTTCACCTCCACGTTCATTCTACAAAAACAATACAGTACTTTAGAATATTTTGGGGCAACACTACATAATTAGTTTCCTACATATTATATATAATGGGGCAGACTAAAGATATTATATGGTGAGGTAGACTAGAGAAAGCTCCAAGAAAAACTACTTACGCTGTTTTAGTGTCAACCGAGGAACTTGTGGCTAGGTGAGGTAAAGTTGTACCTACATGGTCTTTGGTCTCAACTGGGGTAGGTAATGTAGACAGGAGGGTAGAAGACATGTTGGTGTGGTCTTCATCAAGCCAGACACGACACGACCCATACTGATACATTGACGTGTACACTGAGAACAGGAAACATTCCTGCAAAGTATAAAATAACCATTTTACTTTCAACAGTAAATAAAAGATTTTTGTGTAACATCAGTCAACTATTACAATGTTATCAATATCACTATTGTACACATTAATAGACTTACACTTGATTCCTGGCACCAGGCACAACGTCCCGGGTCCCCGAGACAAGTGGCGCACGACTTGCGTTTATGACAGGGAGCCGGGCATTTGCCAACCTCAATCACCGCCCCGGGAAATCTTCCTCTTCTGGAACAATATGCTTCATCGGGCAACCATTCGCAGAGCCCAGATCCAACACAATCGTTGCAGTATATATATTGCTCACAAGTTATGCACTGCTCAGGCACCAGCGTTAGAAAGTAATTGTTTTCAGTTCCCTCCGTGGTAGTTAGTGGACACGGAGTGAGTTGGTCGTGTCTGTCCACGCACGAAGAGGAAGGGTTACACCAGCCGCACTTGGCATCAGTGAGACAAGCTAAACACGTGGTATGGGCGGAACATGCGGCACCTCCGACGCTGTATGGTTCAAGATTTTCTAGGTTTATGAATCGGCGGGTGTGAGTGTGAGTGCTCCAAACTATGCCCATGTCTCCAGCTTGTGGGGAGTTTTGTACTGACTTGTTAACTTGTAGTTTTGTGAGATAACGATGACCTCGGGTCAAATTTGGGAAGATGACCCCCTCTCCTGGTCTCTGTGCCGGTTGTTGTATTTCTTTTTTAGCATCTATACTGGCGACCAATTCCAAGTTCTTTTCCGTGTCGTCACGAGAGATCCAGAGCGATGCATTCACATGAGAAGCTTGGACAAAAACCATCAAGTGCTTCTCACCTTTAACTGGCTGAACTCCCAAGGGATGAATGAAACCAATAAACTGGGCCATGGTGCTCCCTCCTGTGTGTAGGTCTCGAGCCCCACGAAACTCCTGGGTATCCTGTAGCTTCTGGATCGTGGTATTGACGATGGCGACAGAATCGGGCTTGGCGAGATCGACCGGGTGACGATAACGTATGACAGTTATGCCAGGTCTCAAGTCCTGCAGCTGGCATTCTTCGGGGGTGACGAGGTCGTTACCATGGGGCCCCCACCAGCCCTCTATGCGTGAGGGATTGTCCTCTGAAGAACCGCACCGACCCAGACCACCGCTGGGCTCGTCTCGTTCGTGGCATTTGGCCGTCTGGACGCACCAAGCACACGGTCCACTACGGGTGTATCTTCCGTGTACGGTACACGACTGACAGGACTGTAATGAAGGACATACTCCCGGACACTGAGAAGTCTGAAGGTTATTTGTACAGTTGGCTCCACGTGACCTCTCATAACAGCTCAGGTCAGACGGGCACCAGCCACACTCCAGGTTGGACACACATGAAGCCTGCAACAAATAAATCATTAATAATAACATATATTTTTATCACCAACAGATGTTAAGATCTGTGATGTGAGAAAGAAATAAAAACAAAATTACGTTATATAAAGTGAAATTAATATTGAAAATGTGACAAGTGGTACAAGAGATAATGAACCAAGATGTATAGTACAGCGGTCCCCCGATTAACGAACGGTCCAATTAATGAAATTTTGGTTAACGAATTAGCTCCCATAAGGATTTTCAATTCCATTAGCGAACAAAACTTCGATTCACGAGAGCCTTACGAGAAACACGATTTGTTGTGTGCATCAGCTGATGGGGTAATCCACCAATACAGTAATTGGTTCTATGTTTACATTTGTTTCCAGTGGAGTAAATATCAAGAAAGTTGTGCTCTTGAATATTTTTGCATTTTTTATATTAAAATTAGTCATTTTAAAATTTAGTTAACATTGATAATATATGCAGTACAGGGAACTAGTTTTTTGTGCGCCCAGCAGCCACTTGACTCAGCCACCAGGCATCAGTGTGGCTTTGTTGACAGTGGAGTGAACATCTATTTTGTTGGTGTCTTGAATATTTTTGCAATTTTACATTGAAATTATTGGTCATTCTGAAATTTAGTTAACATATTGACAATATATAGTGCAGTGCAGTGTTGATTTAAATAAAATAATCTTGAATTACACCGAGTGAACTTAAAATTTTATTGGTGAAACTACTGCATCAAGCATGGGTCCCATAAAAGGTGATTTCTCCTCCACCCCCACTTCCTTCTCTTCTCCCTTCTCCTCCACCCCCACTTCTAATTCCCATCATCATCATCAACCAGGAGCCTTCTACATACACACCTCAAAGTAAGTGTACTTTACTGCATTTTTTGTTTTACTTTGTATGTACTTTTCTGTGAGCTGGAACCAATTACCCAATACCCCATTGAAACAATGGTTTCAGTTCACGAAATTGTCGGTTAACGAACGACTCTGTGGATACGAATGTATATATATACAGTCAACCCTCACTTTACGCGGTTAATGTAACCCACAGGGTACCGCGGAAAGTGAGAAACGCGTAAAGTGAATAACATAACATATGGGATTAAATGAAATAGAGACCAGCTGACCCCCAAACTCCACTTTTTCCAACACAATACCTATGTTCTAGTAAAAATAACATCTTAATTTTATGATGGTACATGCACACAATTAATACTTAAGAGAAATAGAGAAATACAGTCGCCAAGTTAATGTCCATTCAAATAATGGACTCGACTCCCTCCCCCTCTTCTCACACTACACTCGCTGGCTCTTCCCTCTGAGAAATTTTGGGGGGAAAACCAGGTATAGTAATAAATAATACCTCAAACTAAAGTTAGGATAATATAATTGACATTGCTGGATTCCTTGTAAGACCAGGAATATTTTGAATATAAATGTCATATATTTTTCACAAAAGATAACATATTTACTCAGAGTAAACATTACATCTAAAATTTGTATGTCTAATGCAAAATCTATGATGTTTATATTCAAAATGATCATCAAATTGTAAGAATTCCAGCAATGTAAATTATATTCTGGCCGGGTAATTTGTATGAATTTTATGAGCTAAAACAAATATCTTCGGTTAATAAGAAAAAAAATATTCTTCAAGACACTATCTGTCAATCAAAGTACCCCACCTTGCCTCCCCCCTCTTCCAACGAGCCAGGTGGTCAGTCCGTCCCAACCCTCCCTCCCACCTCCCACCAACCCTCCCTTCAAGAGAAAGAGTGGGTGAAAAAACTAGATTTTAACATTTAGTATTAAATAATACCTCAGATTAAAGTTAGGATAATATAATTGACATTGCTGGATTCCTTGTAAAACCAAGAATATTTTGAATATAAATGTCATATATTTTGCTCAAAAGATAACATATTTACTCAGAGTAAACATTATATCTAAAAATTTTATGTCTAATGCAAAATATATGATGTTTATATTCAAAATGATCATCAAATTGTAATGAATTCCAGCAATGTAAATTATATTCTGGCCGGGTAATTTGTATGAATTTTATGAGCTAAAATAAAAATCTTCAGTTAATAAAAAAAAAAATTCTTCACACATGCCAGGTGGTCGGTCGCCGGTCCCTCCCTCCCCCCCACCCCCCACCAACCATCCCTACTAAATAAATGTGTGGGAATACCAGACTGTTTACCTTTTTAGTAATAAATAATAAATCAGACTAAAGTTAGGATAATATAATTGACATTGCTGGATTCCTTGTAAGACCAGGAATATTTTGAATATAAATGTCATATATTTTGCACAAAAGATAACATATTTACTCAGAGTAAACATTATATCTAAAATTTGTATGTCTAATGCAAAATCTATGAAGTTTATATTCAAAATGATCATCAAATTGTAAGAATTCCAGCAATGTAAATTATATTCTGACCGGATAATTTGTATGAATTTTATGAGCTAAATAAAAAAATTATACTTCACCCGTGTAAAGGGGTACACCCACCGCGGAATGTGAGCATCCTGGGTTCTGGCATGGCACCACGTAAACGTGGAAACGCGGAATGTTGTACCTCTCTAGTCCGGCATTCTGTGGTCCGGAAACTCCCGTGGTCCGGAACGATTTTAGTTTGTCCAATAGGTAGATAGGCAGCTTTTTTTTTTCCTTATCTGAATTATTATTATTATTACAGGAGTATTAAATTTTTGCCCCTCAGGCCCCAATGTGGGTCAGTGACCTATGCCCGGGTGGGCTAATCCCCTTAAAAAAAAAAAAAAGCCGCGGGAAATTAAGGTTTGTTTACATCCGGCAGTTCGGCTGCTCTCTCTCTCTCTCTGCTTGTCTATACAGAGTACAACATTTAACCCTTCAATATATATGAGCAGTAAATAAGTGTTGCTTTCATATTCTTATGTAGAGTAATGACGATATATTTTCACATGTGCGCACTTACATACGAGCAGTCTCACTTTTTTTTTTTACCATTAATGGTTAGCTACTTATATTGTTCCATTTATTAACATTAAATAACATTACAGGTACTTCAAGCAATCATATTCATTTTTTACATTAATTTTACTACAGCTAAACTCAGGGTCTTATTTTCTTCAGTTTTATATGTAGAACCAATCAGTCACTGGTTTCGTAAGCTTTAACATAAACAATGCCGGCAGCCGTCTCGTCTCCTCTAATATTCCACGTATTATTAATAAATTGTATTGTTAATTTTGCACACACGTACATTAATTCAATAAAAACAAATTCAGAAACATTAGTTAAAATATATATGAACAGTAAATAAGTGTTGCTTTCATATTCTTATGTAAAGTAATGACGATATGTTTTCACGTGTGCGCATGCGCACTTACATATGCGATCTCTCTTTTTCTTTACCATTATCGTTAGCTAATTCTATTGTTCCATTTATTAACATTAAATAACATTACTTAAAACAACCATATTAATTTTACTACAGCTACAACCAAGGTCTTATTTTCTTCAGTTTTATATGTAGACCAGTCAGTCACTGGTTTTGTAATCAACGAAAACAATGCTGTGTCATTTCCTCGTGTGTTTTAATTTTCTACGTATTATTAATGAATTGTATTGCGCATTTTGCACGCATAAACATTAATTCAATAAAAAAGACATTCAGTAATAAACAATAATGAATCTTTTGTACATAAGAGAAATGACACTGTTTACACGATTATGCACGTCGTCTGCACGTTGGCGGGCCGTTCAAACCCGTCGAAATTCAAGTTTCCGCCGTCAAAATTTTTATTTATTTTTTTTTGTGTGTTCCAATAAAATACATTAAGAATTAAAAACTCGCGAAATTTGAGAAGCTACTATACGACATTTAACCCTTCAATATGTCTTCAAAGAGACCATGACGCAGAGAAAGTGGTGCTAGTGCTTCCAGGCATAAGCACAAGTCACTATCTATCCAGGAAATGGGTGAATTTCCATGGTCCGGCACCGGTCAGGTCCCGAGGTTGCCGGACTAGAGAGGTACAACTTGAATAAAGACGAAAGCTAAGGTACTCCGTTGTTTCCATTTTCCCGTGTGATTTTATCAAGATATATATATATATATATATATATATATATATATATATATATATATATATATATATATATATATATATATATATATATATATATATATATATATATATATATATATATATATATATATATATATATATATATATATATATATATATATATATATATATATATATATATATATATATATATATATATATATATATATATATATATATATATATATATATATTATATATATATATATATATATATATATATATATATATATATATATATATATATATATATATATATATATATATATATATATATATATATATATATACTGTATATATATATATTTTTTTTCATAGCTTAGGTTAGGTTAAAGCACAACCCTGCCCAGACCAAACAACAATAATATCACATCCAGTAAGTCATTGTTGAATGTTGCCCCCAATAACATTGTTTCATTATAATACCGCTACTCTTTAGATACCCATGATTCAGACAATGTCCCGCCGATTCAGTATAACGTCGTCACGGACTACTTTGTACGGCGCATCACCCTCTCTCACCCAGTCAGAGTGGGAGGATGAGCCACCCGCCGGGTCTCAGTGACTCACCACCCTCCTCCTCTCCACTACCCACCACACACTCGCTCCATCTCTTCCCATCAGTGAGTACAATACAAAATGATTTAGCTTATTTATCTTTTTGGATGTACAGTATAATATACACTATTTTCAATAAAAATTCCATTGAATTTATGTACAGTATATGTAATGTATTTTATGGGACAAAGGGAGGCTGGGGAACGTAACTCCCGTTTTTATCTATTTCTTATGGGGAAAATTGATTCCGTTAACGTCGCGGTTTTCAGGAATGGAACCACGACGTTAAGCGGACAAATAACGTAAATACTTTACTGTAAATAAAGTGATGTTAAACAATATAGAATAATAAAGATCATGTAAAAAATGGGATTTCATTAAAAAATTTGGAGAGGAATGTACAGCGGTCCCTCGGATAACGAACACAATTCGTTCCACAGATTCGTTAGTTAACCGAATCTAATATTTCAATGGGATATTGGGTAATTGGTTCCAACTCACAGAAAAAGTACATACAAAGTACTGTATACCAGTAATAGAATCAACAAAAAATTAAATATAAACTAAATACAGTACTGTACTGTACAGTATACTGTACAATAATAAATAAAAAACAATAGAATACTGTATTTTAACTTACTTTGAGGTGTGTATGTCGTATTACCGGCAGCTTTGTTTACATATCAAACAGCTGATTGTAGAGGCAGTCGATGATGACATGCCATATTCTTTACAGAGTGCATTGGTTCTAATGCCTTCTTCATGTTTCATAATAATTTCTGCACTGTATATTATCAATATGTTAACTAAATTTCAGAATGATCAATAATTTTAATGTAAAAATGAAAAAATATTCAAGAGACCAACAAAATCGATGTTGACTCCACTGTAAACAAAGGTAAACTGAGAAGCGTTGTTGGGTGATTCAATCAGCTGATGGCCGCACAAAAACTGTTCCCTGTACTGTCTATATTATCAATTGTTAGCTAAATTTCAGAATGACGAATAATTTTAAGATAAAAAATGCAGAAATATTCAAGAGACCAACTTTCTTGATATTTACTTCACTGGAAACGAATGTAAACATAGAACCAATTACTGTATTGGCGGACTAGCCGATCAGCTGATGCGCACAACAAAACGTGTTTGTCGTAAGGCTTTCGTTAATCGAAGTTTTGTTCGTTAATCGAACTGAAAATCCTTATGGGAGCTAATTCATTAACCGAAATTTTGTTAATTGAACCTTTCCTTAACCGAGGGACCACAGTATAGTATAGTCTCGATTTACGTGGATTTGGTTTGTGCGTTTGGTAATTTACGCGGCAAGTTGCCAGACCGACAATTTTTATTTATGCGGTTCAATCCATCAATTACGTGGGAAGCGGTGCAGGCAGGGTGCGCACAAGGTCGCCCAGTCAACAAAACATTACCGAGTTCTTCACCCGCCGCCCACCACAGCCAGCCCAAGTCAGTGACAGTGAGGATATGGACTTTGAGGGGTTTGACAAAGACGTCCTGCAAGCCTCTGTGGTGGATAGTGATACAGGTGATACAGGTGATACAGGTGAGGGCCAATAATCTGCCCTCTGCCTCAGAACCAACCCCAATCCCCATGTACCCAGCCATCTCTTCTACTAAGTAAGTGTTAAAAAACCTAATATTATTGATATTTCTCTTAAATACTAATTGTGTGTGCATACCATCATAAAATTAAGATGTTATTTTTACTACAAGTACGTAAAGTATTGTGTCTGGGTGAATTATAATTTGTTTATTTACTGAAGATATTTGTTTTTAGCTCATAAAATTCATAGAAATTATCCGGCCAGAATATAATTTACATTGCTGGAATTCTTATAAGATAGTGATTAATTTGAATATAACCAAGCTAAAATCTGCATTAGACATACAAATTTTAGATCTAATTTAAGAATTTTATTAGAGAGCAAAAATTTTATATTTTGTGCAAAATATATGATGTTTATATTCAAATTATTTGCAGTCTTGCAAGGAATCCAGCAATGTCAATTACATTATCCTAAACATAGTCTGAGGTATTATTTATTACTAAACCTAAAAACCAAGTGTTTTCACCCAAACATTTCTCAGAGAGGGAGGAACCAGTGAGCGTGGGAAAAGGGGGGGGGGGCGGAGTTGAGTCCATTATTTGAATGGACATTAACCTGGCGACTGTATTTCTCTTAAATATTAATTGTGTGTGCATACCATCATAAAATTAAGATGTTATTTTTACTACAACGTACTATTGTGTCGGAAAAAGTGTAGTTTGGGGGTCGGCCCAGTCTCTATTTCAATTAATCCCATATGTTCTATTATTTCGTTTACGCGTTTCTTGCGGACCTCCGCGGGTTCAATTGACTGCGTAAATGAAGACTATACTGTACTGGGATTTTGTTCGTAAGTGCGGATGATCATAAATTGGACGGTTGTAACTTGGGGGCTGCCTGTTTATAAAGTAATACCCCTAATAATGAATCCTCTGGCCATGAAGTCCCTTTATAATGAAGCACTGTACAATACACAAACAATAATCAGACACAGTTGTTGAGACTTAATTCAAGTTAACTAGTGTTGTGAAATGTTGCCATTAGTGTTGAACCGAGTATAATGTGGTGCTTTTAAAGGATATTTTTTACTTAATCATCTTCACTACAGGTCAGATGTTATAAAAGATGAACATATGTATAAAAGAGTGTGTGTGTGGGTAATATAGTTGTGTAATTTAAGGAGAAGAGTATGACGAGGAAGAGTTTCTAAACTAGACTGGTCGGTAGGTGGGTGATGCAGCAGGAAATAATGAGCATCAATAAAGTGGAAGTAAATTAAAGTACAGTACAGTACACTACAGTATGCAGTGAACACCTCACCCACCTGACTGGTGTGTCTACGACATGCCTCATCCATGTCAAAATCCCGGCCTTCTGGGGACACCAGAGTGGAAGGCAAAACATAGGCCAGAACGTGACCGTTAACAGTGCCATGGAAACCTCCCACGACAACCATTGTGTTCCCGCCACGAAGAAATACACTATGCCCATAAACACCTTGTAGTTTGGGATACTTTCCTGAAAATGTTAAAGAACTTGAGGGTAACTAATATTATGAGAGAATATTTATCAAAATCTCAAAGATACAATAAATGACACAGAGTATAAAACTATATGTTGTGAGAGAGATTGTACAGTAGAGTATACCACAGGCACAACAACTATAGTACTGTACTGTACAAATCTGTTAAGGTGGGGGGAGTAACCTGTTGACCTTATGTTACTGACCTGCTTGACCTGTTGGTGTCAGTTGGTGGGACATCCAGACATGGCAGCCAAGATGGTAGAGGTAAATCTTCTTGTCATAACACGTCTCCTCTTCCTTGTGCTTGTGCATGTAACCACCAAATATAACCATGTAATTACCTGCAAAGAAGAGAGCTTGTTGACATCCTGTGTTGATGCATTGAACTGACAATAAATATGAGACAGAGAGAGAGAGAGAGACAAAGAGACAGAGAGAGAGACAGAGAGAGACAGAGAGAGAGAGAGACAACTGTATACTTACCAGCTATTACGGCAGAATGGAACGCCCGCTCTAATGGAACGTGGTGCAGAGGATTGTTGTGAGACTTGGGGTAATGAATCTGTGACCAGTAGTGTTGGTCAATGTCGAACACCAGGAGGCGGTCAGAGAGTTTTGAGAATCTGGGAAAGAAAAGAAGATGATGAGAACCACAAATGTAAATAAATATATATATATACTGTATAAAGTCAACCAGATGGTACAGTTTCCCTTCACTCATGGCCAACTGGTTACAAATCTTGTCAGTAAGGTTAAATTATCTGGATAGTATGTCTTCACTTAACAAAATTATAACCACAACTAACCTAATAAATATTTAGAACAATGACAACTGATCAAGGAGTTCCAAGAGTTAGTCAAGGGTGGGGGGAGGGGAAGTGACTAACATATTTATAAATGTCCACTCTAAATACAGTAACCCACCTGGCTTTGTCTACTCTAAATACAGTTAAGACAGTCACAAGTAACCCACCTGGCTATGTCCACTCTAAATACAGTTAAGACAGTCACAAGTAACCCACCTGGCTTTGTCTACTCTAAATACAGTTAAGACAGTCACAAGTAACCCACCTGGCTATGTCTACTCTAAATACAGTTAAGACAGTCACAAGTAACCCACCTGGCTGTGTCTACTCTAAATACAGTTAAGACAGTCACAAGCAACCCACCTGGCCTTGTCCACTCTAAATACAGTTAAGACAGTCACAAGTAACCCACCTGGCTTTGGGCCGGATTGATAGTCATTACGAAGCACAATGCCAATTGATAGTGTTCGTGCTGGTCTATTAATAGTCATCCCGATAAACGAGGTATCGGAAGGGAACCGTACGCATATCCCTGAAATGTTGGAAACAACATCGGGTGGCTACCCCCACCCGATAGCTGCCTTACGACAAATAATAATCATCATTATATTTTATGAAAGTTCTTCCAGTACTTTATATTACAGATGCCTACGTCGAATTATATTATTTTTTTGATAAGAACAATTAAAAGAAGTGTTAATATGGATAAATGAACTTTCACAACACTGTTATGAACTTGAAACATTATTGGAATGTTGACATCACAGCTCCGACTTCGATGACGACTGCTGTCTGTGCTGTGAGCCTCATCTTCAATTAACAATTACTTCTGTTATCATTTAAGGTATGTTTCTTATCTTTATTCATTCATACAATATTTTTGTCGTAGTAGTAATAAAATTTCAACCATCTGAACCACTAAATTCACTTATGTTTTCCGGAATGAGGCAAGTAGGTAGTAGGCAGCTACCAAACAGGGAGGTACTACCGCCTGGGAAGACATTGGAAGCATAATGTGTTGTCTAATGGTAGACCCTGCTGCCATATGGCATCACGAATATTGTGACCAAGTCCCAGGTTGCTGATCTGTCTTTCTGCCTCATTTACACACAATTGCAGGATCTCAATTGTTTCTCTTACTATTGACAAGACAACATACTGTACATATAGCGTTTCTAACTATTGATTATTATTATTTTTTCTTTATTATCATTATTACAGTGTTGTTATTATTGTTATTATTTTATTTTACTTTTAATTATAAATTTTATTTACTATGAATTACTATTATTATTATTAAATTTTCGCCCCCCAGGCCCCGATGTGGGTCATTGACCTGTGCCCAGGTGGGCTAATCCCCTTAAAAAAAAAAAAGCCAAGTGAGCTCACTCTATCTTGAGTTAGCAAGGAAAATATCACAGTTTTTGGTCCAGTAATATAGTTTAGTATAAACGTTAATATTTATTTTCAACAAGATATAAGCTAAGGTTTACGATCTACAATGTCTTGTGTGTGTCAGGCAGAAATATGACGACATAAGTAAGCATTAGATTTCATTTTCTTTATTCTTTAACTTAAATATTTACTGTCACTAATAAAATAAAGAATAAGTACAGCTTACTATCAATACAAATAATTTGCTCTAAAATTCTGCAATACTCGGCTACATCACAGTTTTAATGATACACACAACACCACTCTTTGGTTAAAAAAATCTATATACTTTTAATTTTTACAATTGATATTTTCAGGCCTTTCTTTTGCTATCATTTATGGTGTTGCTTGTAGACCTGTCCTCACTGATTGGCCTTTGCTCAATATGGCGCAAAAGTGCCATGTGTTGGGTTTCAGACAGAGCTGCAGAACGTTTTCTTACTACCTCCATGTTTGATAATATGCGCGCAAACATTGTTGCCAAGTACTGAGATGAAAAAATTATCTATTTTGTTTCGAACAGATAATAAAGTTCTATTTTATAAAAAAATATGTTTTACAATATATTATTGTGCCGGAATAAAATAGCAACTAAATATCTCTCTAAATCATCTTTCTAATGATGTGAAATAATACATTTGGCACACGCGCATGGCCAAAAAAAATTTTGCCATCCGACACGAGCTGCCGTGTTTACACGCTCATGTAAGTGCCTAGGAATATGGCACTCAGCGTTGGGTGGTTGCATCCCGACACACAATCATCGAGATGATGATCGTGATCGTCATTATCGTCGTAATGACTATCAATACGGCCCCTAGTCTACTCTAAATACAATTAAGACAGTCACAAGTAACCCACCTGGCTATGTCTACTCTGATCCCACCATACACCAACAGTGACCTGGAAGGGACGTGGAACACCGTTGAATGACCAATAACGCGGACTTCTAATTCATTGCCGCCTCGAACAATGACCTGAAATAAATAAAGGCGGTAAAAACTCTAAATATATGAACTAATGCATAAGTACAGTATATGAGTAGTTATGTATGTATGTATGAATACCCAGTTCATTTATTTAAATAAGAGTGGGTATGTCTGTATGAAGATACAGTATGTACAGTACAGTAGTGACCCAAGTATATAAAAGTGTGTTTATATGTACTATAATAATAATAATAATAATAATAATACAGTATTAATATTTAATAATCATAATAATAATAAAAACAACAATTATTCAGTAAAGTTGTCATGCTGTACTGGTTTACAATTAGATAATCATGTTTATAAACTATGCAGATACAGTATACAGTGCAGCGTGAATGTAGATAATGTAGGCACATGGTGCAGGTAGGTCGTGGGAGTACAGATATACAGTTTCCTGTGCCGAGACAGTACAGGTAAACTACAGTGGTAAACAATAAGGCAACTTGACCAAGGATAGTCTGCAAAGTTGTCAGCTTCTTATTTTTGGGAGGATCCTTTACTTAGGCTTACTCTTGGTCTCTGATCAGTAATGTCTACAGGAGTGAAAGTTTATTTGATGCAATTCAACAAGCATTACATTGCTCTCAGACTATCCGAGGCTGATGGATCACTACCACAGTACTGTACTACATTCTATAGTTTTATAATACAGAAACTCACTCTCTTCTTTTGTTGTAGCTTCGTCTATCATGTATATCTTTTTTAGTTTTGAATTTCTCAACACCGTAACTAGTACTGATGTGGTCTGGTAACTTGTTCCAGTCTGTTGTAGCAGTAAAGAAGAAAGTGCTTTTCACCTGACTGTGGACACAAGGTACCATAAAATTATGTTCACTCCCTCTACTGCCCTGCTGGTTCATATTCCTAATCCTTACAAAGTTTGTTATTAGATACTTTGGCCACAGTCAACTGAAAATCCTGTAGCATGATTTAGTCACAGTTACTTCACTCTGTCCACCACACTTAGTATGTTCAGTGATTAAAGAACTATGTGACCAATGTGATCTCTTGCTTTCATGTCAAGGATAAACTTCACTGCCTTGTTTTGAATAATTTGATGCTTGGATTTTAGCTTCCGTGTTAGGCCAGAGTACCATGATGAGCAGGAATAGTTCAGGTGACAGTGTATGAGTGCCAAGCAAAGGGTCCGATGGCTGAGAGGCATTTATTTAATATACAATATAGTATTTATTGTGGTAGTAAAATATATACTGTAGTAAAACTTGTACCACTGTAGTAAGTCGTGTACAGTACTGTAGTAATGGTGCTCTGAGAACATCAATTAAAGAGTGACAGAAGAAACAGATGCATGAAGTATTTGTTCATCTGTAACATGAAAAGTCAAACTGAAGTACTTGTTGGTGAGGGCTGACAGCCCTAGAGATAGAGGGCTGACAGCTGTAGAGACAGTGAGGGCTGACCACTGTAGATACAGTGAGGGCTGATACCTGTAGAGATAGTGAGGGCTGACAGCCTTAGAGATTGCGAGGGCTGATAGCTGTAGAGACAGTGAGGGCTGACAGCTGTAGAGATAGTGAGGGCTGACAGCTGTAGAGACAGTGAGGGCTGACCACTCTAGAGACAGTGAGGGCTGACAGCTGTAGAGATAGTGAGGGCTGACAGCCTTAGAGATTGCAAGGGCTGACAGCTGTAGAGACAGTGAGGGCTGACCACTGTAGAGACAGTGAGGGCTGACAAGAGATGAGGGCTGACAGCTGTAGAGACAGTGAGGGCTGACAGCTGTAGAGACAGTGAGGGCTGATAGCTGTAGGACAGTGAGGGCTGACAGCTTAGAGACAGTGAGGGCTGACAGCTGTAGAGACAGTGAGGGCTGACCACTGTAGAGACAGTGAGGGCTGACAGCTGTAGAGATAGTGAGGGCTGACCAATGTAGAGACAGTGAGGGCTGACAGCTGTAGAGATAGTGAGGGCTGACAGCCTTAGAGATTGCGAGGGCTGATAGCTGTAGAGACAGTGAGGGCTGACAGTTGTAGAGAGTGAGGGCTGACAGCTATAGAGATGGACAGTGAGAAGCTTTATGGGAAACAAAGATCTGATGGAATAACAAGTGTAGAAGTAAAGAAGAATTTATGGGGTAAAAAAAATTTGGCAGACAGTACAGTACAGTAAGGCGACTAAGAGAACATGGCGGACAGTCTGGCCACTTACCTTCTTCCATATTCTGTCTCCCTCCAGGTTCATCCTGTACATGCAATTTGAGAACTCTCCATGTTCCAGACTTCCACCAAAGAGATAGAGCCAAGAGTTGTCCACCAGGGTGAGAGTTGCATACATTAAGCCAGGGGGAACGTTGTCATCCTTGGCCGATGTCTCATCACTGACACTTTCTTCTTTCCCTTCAAGCAGTCGCCATTCATCCATAGTTGTGTTGTACAGCCACAGTTCATTACTTACTTCACCTGTATACAAACAAAGCTTCTTCAATAAGAGACAATTATATTCACTTAAGTGTTACTACAGACAGGAACAACTGTTACCATACATAAAGGTGTGCACAACAAATAGTGTACAGTACAGTACACATAACAGAGCAGTTGTGTGATGGTAAGGTCGTGGTGCCCTTCTTAGTACAGTATCCCACCTCTAGTACAGTATTTATATTTTCTTTTTGCCTCATCAACTTTTCTCTTTCTTTTATGCTTCATTATATGATATGTGTAAATAAGAGGAGAGAAGAGCACTGTACAGTACTGTATGGTGATGAGTGGAGGAGATGTTGCTCTTGTTAGGTTGTGTAGACCAACTAGGGTAGACAATACACATATCTGAGGTACTGTATAACAAAACCCATCTATTTTTTTAATAATTTTCACCATTTATCAGCTTACTAGACATTCGGGCAGTTGGTCTATCTAGTGTTAGTAAAGGAGGAAAACTGGAGGCCGGCAAACCTGTGATGTTTGGTAGTAAGAGACACTGGATAACACCCTTCTCACGTGTGTCCTGGCCGAGGCTCAAACCCTTGACATATTGGTGAGAGATACAGGTGTTACCGCTGTACCACCAACACCCTAGCAAAAGTAAGTAAGTGTGTGTGTGTGTGTGTGTGTGTGTGTGTGTGTGTGTGTGTGTGTGTGTGTGTGTGTGTGTGTGTGTGTGTGTGTGTGTGTGTGTGTGTGTGTGTGTGTGTGTGTGTGTGCACGCAGGTGTGTACGTGTGTGTGTTTTTTCTTGGTTTTGACAAGTCTGTATTATTGTAAAAAAAAAAAGAACAAAACAAACAAACATATACAGTACTGCCACTTCCCCCCACAACAACCAAACACTTCCTTACACTCATTAGGTCAACACACTCACAACTATACTGTACATGACTACCAAATCATATTGTAAAATTTCTACAGCAGAAAAATCAATGATTGGCTCTGTCTTATACAGTAGTTGCTAACATACCTTACACTCATTCACATCAAAGTGTATAAACAATATAAAGTACCTGTATCTTACTTTATATCATAAGTAATTACTCTATAGATCCTTAAACTTAGTCTATAATCAAACTAGATGACAACAAAAGAAATTATAAGTATTAATATAATTATGGGTCATAAAAAGTTTTGGACGAATGTCTTCACTTGGACATGTTTCCTCTTAATGATCTATGCTGGCCAGTCAAAAGCTTCCATCTGTATTTGAGTATTTTAGAATTCTACCACAACTTTTTTTTATCTTTATCCTAATATTTCTCACAATTCTTAATACTGCTCAAGAGGCAAGCTTTAAATTTATGCTTAAGTTCCAATCAAGAGGCAAACTTTAAACCCAAGCTTACTTAAGTTCCACTAATAGGTACAGGTTGTACCTCTCTAGTCCGGCATTCTGTGGTCCGGAACGATTTTAGTTTGTCCAATAGGTAGATAGGCAGATTTTTTTTTTTTTTTACTTCTCTGAATTATTATTATTATTACAGGAGTATTAAATTTTTGCCCCTCAGGCCCCAATGTGGGTCAGTGACCTATGCCCGGGTGGGCTAATCCCCTTAAAACAAAAAACAAAAAAGCCCCGGGAAATTAAGATTTGTTTACATACGGCAGTTCGGCTGCACTCAATCTCTCTCTCTGCTTGTCTATCCCAGCCGTTACCAACACCTCTTCCCTCCCAGACCAGATATCCCTCCTCCTAGTCACAGGCCTGGCATTTGACATTATTAGGGACCTGCCACTCTTTGCCATAAACAGATAAAATGTACCGGGAACTTTCCCCCCACACACTCATCATTCTCTCACTTTATGTAACTTGACAGAACCTATGACCCTTCAGGCTTTTACGCCCTTAATGTACGAGTCATAAAGGCAAGTATGAACTTTTCATACTTCCCTGTTGGGCGCTGTAAACGCTTCTGCGCTTCACCTTGCACAGGATGTAAGGGGGTGCCCAATAAACTAGCCCCCTCGGGGGCAAATCTGAAATCTGAATCTGCTTGTCTATACAGAGTACAACATTTAACCCTTCAATATATATGAGCAGTAAATAAGTGTTGCTTTCATATTCTTATGTAGAGTAATGACGATATATTGTCACATGTGCGCACTTACATACGCACTTAACATTAAATAAAATTACAGGTACTTTAAGCAACCATATTCATTTTTTACATTAATTTTACTACAGCTACAATCAGGGTCTTATTTTCTTCAGTTTTATATGTAGAACCAATCAGTCACTGGTTTCGCAAGCTTTAACATAAACAATGCCGGCAGCCGTCTCGTCTCCTCTAATATTCCACGTATTATTAATAAATTGTATTGTTAATTTTGCACACACGTACATTAATTCAATAAAAACAAATTCAGAAACATTAATTAAAATATATATGAACAGTAAATTAGTGTTGCTTTCATATTCTTATGTAAAGTAATGACGATATGTTTTCACGTGTGCGCATGCGCACTTACATATGCGATCTCTCTTTTTTCTTTACCATTATCGTTAGCTACTTCTATTGTTCCATTTATTAACATTAAATAATATTACTTAAAACAACCATATTAATTTTACTACAGCTACAACCAAGGTCTTATTTTCTTCAGTTTTATATGTAGAACCAGTCAGTCACTGGTTTTGTAATCAACGAAAACAATGCTGTGTCATTTCCTCGTGTGTTTTAATATTCTACGTATTATTAATGAATTTTATTGCTCATTTTGCACACATAAACATTAATTCAATAAAAAAGACATTCAGTAATAAACAATAATGTATCTTTTGTACATAAGAGAAATGACGCTGTTTACACGATTATGCACGTCGTCTGCACGTTGGCGGGCCGTTCAAACCCGTTGAAATTCAAGTTTCCGCCGTCAAAATTTTTATTTATTTATTTTTTTGTGTGTTCCAATAAAATACGTTAAGAATTAAAAACTCGCGGAATTTGAGAAGCTACTATACGACATTTAACCCTTCAATATGTCTTCAAAGAGACCATGACGCAGAGAAGGTGGTGCTAGTGCTTCCAGGCATAAGCACAAGTCACTATCTATCCAGGAAAAGGGTGAATTTCCATGGTCCGGCAATTTCCATGGTCTGGCACCGGTCAGGTCCCGAGGTTGCCGGACTAGAGAGGTACAACCTGTAGTAGGCAGCTATCAAACAGGGAAGATATTGGAAGCTTAATGTGTTGTCTAATGGTAGACCCTGCTGCCATATGGTATCACAAAAATTGTGACCAAGTCCCAGGTTGATGATCTGACTTTCTGCCTCATTTACACACAATTGCAGGGTCTCAATTGTTTCTCTTACAGTTGACAACACAATACTGTATACATATTGTTTCTCACTATTCATTTTTTTTCATTTTTTTATTTCTTTATGGTTATTATTACAGTGTTGTTATTGTTATTATTACCATTATTATTTTATTATTATTTTTTTATTATAAATTTTACTTACTATGACTTATTACTATTATTATTATTATTATTATTATTACATTTTCACCCCCCAGGCCCTGATGTGGGTCAGTGACCTGTGCCCAGGGGGGCTAATCCCCGTAAAAAAAAGGAAAAAGAAAAAAAAGGCAAGCTTTAAACCCAAGTTACTTGTGCTCCACTCATCAACACAATGGTGACGAAGCCATCCATTTGTTAACACATCATGGAAGGCCCCACAAGAGTCAATTCAAAGGCATGAACTTTCACATCAAAACTGACCACCTGACTAATATGTGGACTTTATATCCATTCTTCCTCAACTCACTCAAAACTTGAACTCTTTAGTTATTCACTTTATTCAAAAAGTTGATTCACCAGACAGAATTCCATCTCCATTCATTTTCCTCTCTCACAGAAAATCTCCACTCAACAAAGGTTCTATCAAGCCATTACAGTAGCTACAGGCAGCATGGGTGACTTACCTGATGATAATCTTCCACCAAATAGAACAAAATGTTGATCATATTTTTCCATAACGTGACCATATCTGGGAGCCGGAGTTACTGCCCTCATATTATGGCTGGCTGGGGTGTGGTTCATCTCCTCGCTTGGTCTGATCATCCGTCGCAGTCTCTGAGCGTCACCCAAGAGGCTTTTGAGTTTTACACTGACTGTGTTGTTGCTGTTAACAGAAAATGTTAAATTTCTAAGAAGAGAACTATTGGTGATGTGCTGCTCAGTCATTACTTTCGGGCGAGCAACGCGCTGGGAGGTCAGACGGTGGCTGAGGCGACTCTGGCTGGCTGGGTCGCTGACATTGACCCAGACGCTCGTGCCGATGTCATAAATGAGGAGATCGCCCAAAACATTGTTGAGATTGTACCCTCCAAACACATACAAGCGATCTAGATGAGGCAAATAAACGCTAGCGTGGCTCGTCCTGTCGTTGAGGGGCGGTCCACCTCGCCACAACCAGTGCCACGTGCCACCTTCAGAGTCAAGTGAACCCAGAGAACACCCGTCACCAAAATATCCTTCATTACAGAGACAGTAAGGTGAAGGCTTAGAGCAGTGACCGCGGCTGTGAGCCATTCCACAGTTCTCTGGACAGTGTTCGCGCTCACAGCCATCACCGGTGTAGAGCTTCTCACACAAGCACTTATGATCTTCACATTGTCCGTGAGATGAACAGTTGAGAGGACAGTCTGTGAGGAAACAAAAACAAAACAGTGAATTAAAAAATATCATTCGGGTTTAAAGAGCATTTATATTCCTGTACTAAACCTCTGCATAATGCTAATTTTTTTCACATTCATTCCATCCTTATGTGAAAACTCCCAAGTAGAGCTGTTTGTTCCCCCCACCATGCACACATATATGTTGTTGTTCCCTCCACCACACACATACATCTTATTGTTCCCTCCACCATGCACACATATATGTTGTTGTTCCCTCTACCACACACACACACATCTTATTGTTCCCTCCACCATGCACACATACATGTTGTTGTTCTCTCCACCATGCATATTGTTGTTCCCTCCACCATACACACATCTTATTGTTCCCTCCACCATACACACATACATATTGTTCCCTCCACCACACACACATATATGTTGTTGTTCCCTCCACCACACACATACATCTTATTGTTCCCTCCACCATGCACACATATATGTTGTTGTTCCCTCTACCACACACACACACATCTTATTGTTCCCTCCACCATGCACACATACATGTTGTTGTTCTCTCCACCATGCATATTGTTGTTCCCTCCACCATACACACATCTTATTGTTCCCTCCACCATACACACATACATATTGTTCCCTCCACCACACACACATACATGTTGTTCCCTTCAACATCCTCTCCACTAAAGTAAACTTGGGAAGCTTCTTACCTGTGACCGAATATTCTGCCACAAACCCTTCCAGTGCATAGTTTGTGTCAGAGTATAATAGAATCAACATGGCCCCTGAACTTGCTGTGACTTGAGGAGGTAAAGTCCTGCCTGAGAACACCCCCAGCATGAGGGAGTCGTATGTCTCACCATCATAAACATATAAGTGGTCGTAGGAACACTCTGTGTCTATGCTGGTGACATTGAGTGTGATGAACTGCCCGGGTGAAGAGGCTGAAACAAAAGAGATACTGAGTACTGTGCTGTGCTGTAATAATAATAATAATTATAATAATAATAATAATAATAATAATAATAATAATAAACGATTTATTGAAAGAGCATGGCAGCCGGAAGGCTGAAAATATACAGTTACATAATTGGGGAATGGGCCTCTTGATTTACAAATAATATACAAGTAACATAAGTGATACAAATATGATACAGTATATAATAACTAGGTGGGGAGAAGCTCAAACTACAGGGCATTTCAACATAGTGACAGTGCAAAAAGTAAGATTGACTGGGAGTGTATACACTGGATGATTACAAGTTATTGATAATTTTTACAATGGTTGGGACTGGACTGTTCTTATAGCGATCAGTTCGTGCTGGATGCGGTTGTGGTGTCGAACAGCAATTCTCAGGAGAGGGATCTCGGGTGGTAGTAGAAGCCGGTGTCGAGGATGGTGCAGAATCTTCTCACCAAATTTGCAGATGAGGTCATGGTGATGGTCAGTGAGAGCCGAGAGGGTCAGTGTGTTGAGCGCTTCTTGATATGTGGAGTAGGAAGGGGAGAGAATAATCTTGCATGCCCTCTTTTGCGCTTTTTATAGGTGTTCACATTGTGTGGCATTTAGGGAGGAAGACCAGGTAGGGGAGGCATAGGTGAGCTTGGGAAGTATGAATGTTGAGTAAACACTGAGGAGCTCGGGTGCAGGAACGCCGAGGGACTTGAGTACTGTGCTGTATTGTGCTGCGTTGTGCTGTGCTGTACTGTGCTGTCTTGTACTGTATTGTACTGTGCTGTACTGTCCTATACTGTGCTGTACTGTACTGTAGTTTTCAATTACAAATAGTTGTATGGAAGCAAAGAGAGAGAGAAAGTCCTTTGTGACCACACAACTAAAGGAGATACAGTCGACCCTTGTTAATTCGGACTAATAGGGAGGGAAGGGTGTCCGTTTTAGCCGATGGTCCGAATTAACCGATTTAGGGGTTAATATTGCATTATATTTCAAAGTCATTGTTTTCATCACGATTTTATCCCACTTTCCACTGTAATACGTACGTCATTTCAGCAAAAATATTACATTTCCGTGAATGCATTATATCAAGCACAGTATGAATAGAATACCATTGTAATATAACAGTATTTTAACCAAAAACTATTAAAAAAACGAGTAACTTCTCTTGAACATCGGAAGGTTAGGTAAAATCTTTTGTTTTCGTCATGTATTTTATCCTATTTTACATTAAAATACATCACGTTTCAGCAAAACTACTATTTATTTCCGAGAATATATTCATTCAGGCACAGTTAAGGTAAAATATACATGTGATGTAACAGTTTTTTAACTGAAAACGATTCGAAAAACACGTGTACCGTCTAGCTGATACTCAACAGCTGGTGGTGCGTCATGCGTCGTTGTAAACAATAGGAGGTTGAAGTAGATTACCGGGTATTATATTAAGTGTGAAATATCAAAAAGGTTTTTATTACCGGTATTTTTTGTAGATCAATGAGAACTGTTATACCGTATATGATATGATAAGTTAGCCTGTGCTAAGAACTTCAACATAGACTACTGAAAACACGTTGTAAGGTAATTTAGCCTATTGTAAGTTGGTGAGCTTCATTTGCTGAAGAAACTGCACAACTTTTCATTACTAATTGGTACATATTTTACGTTTCCATTGTTTACTGGCAGTAAATGGTAAATATTTTTCATGTCTGAAGCTAAAAGTTGCATCCCCCCCCCCCCACACTAGTGGTGGAGATGTTACATTTAACCAAAAAGACGCTGGTGTTTTATCCCAGCAGTGGGTGGACCAGCATTTTAGCTTAAGGTCCGCATAGGTAATATTCCTACAAATCTAAAAAAAAGAAGTTCAGATTTTGTCCGAATTATCCGAAATCCGGATTAAAGGGGTCCAAATTAACGAGGGTCGACTGTGTGTGTGTGTATATATATATATATATATATATATATATATATATATATATATATATATATATATATATATATATATATATATATATATATATATATATATATATATATATATATATATACAGTGGGGTATGCTATAACGAACGGATCCTACTACGAATATTCCTATAACGAACGGTTTTACCTATAAAATTGAGAATGCTATAACGAACGCAACTCCTACAACGAACGCGGATGAATACGGGACTATTTCGCCTGGCGCATGAATATTGTTGTACCGCGACCCACAACAAGAGCGTCAGGCGCCATCTTTGTCTCATTGTGTAGCCAGTGCACCACTGTTATTGTTGAAATTTCGTCTTTTGATGTGGAAATTCGCGTTATTTGTATAACTATTTTGTTATACAAGTATACAATTGTAACAATGAGTCGTCCAAAGCGAGTGAGAAAGCTAATAACCCTTGAAACTAAGAAAGAAATTATAAAGAAACGTGAGAATGGAAGAAGCATTGCGAAACTTAGTGATGAATATGGGATGGCTAAATCGACTATATGTACGATTTTGAAGAATAAAGAGGAGTTAAAAACTGTGCAAGTGGCTAAGGGAATCTTTAGACTTAGCAAAGCAAGGTGTAATGTGATTGAAGAGATGGAAAATTTACTCTTAGTGTGGATAAAGGAGAAAGAAATGGCAGGTGGTAACATTAGTGAAGCTATAATTTGTGAGAAGGCCAGACAATTGTTTGAGGACCTTAAAGCCAAGACTCCCAGTGGAAGTGATAGTGATGTGCCAGTGTTTAGGGGTACCTGCATGCTGAATAACACTAAGGTAAGATAAAGTACCGTATTTTTTACATTTTCCACAGAATTTTTTCAGTGTTAAGCGGTTGTATTTGGGGGCCTGGAACGGATTAATCCTATAACGAACGAATGCTATAACGAACGAGGTTCTGGAACCAATTACGTTCGTTATAGCATACCCCACTGTAGACATTTCATTGTACTGTACAGTACTTCTTAACCCCTTCACTATGGGGATGCCACTTTTGATATTTTATTTGGCTAATGCCTGATGATTTTATTCAGCTCAGAGAACCTGTACACAAAGGGTTAAAGAACATTCAATATTCAACAGTATGATACTACACTACCGGTAAATAATATTTGTTTCTTTTGTATAGAAAATTAAATTACCAACTCTTGTTAGTGTTCATCTTTCTGGTTTATGAAATTCCAAGACATACTACAGTACAATACATTATGATGAGTCGGGGGGCAAGATGGCAGGCACGGAACTCTGTACTGTATCTTCCATTAGCCTATGGTTAATAAAACAGGCCAAGGATAATCATACCATAAATCTGAACAAGTTATCTCTCACAAAGGTCAAGAATTGAATGATTGTTGAGGACCCTAACCTAACCTAACTTAATCTAACCTAACCCCAGCGAGACAATGTGACAAGCACAATTTTTCAGCCATCACAAGAGACCATCTGATGAGCCTTGTCCGCACTAGTATCCGCATTGAATAAAAATATTAGTCTCTTCTCTCTGACTTTTGACAATACTGTATATCAACATTAATCAAATACTGTATATTATTATCAGTAGTAGTACCTGTAAACTGGTAATATGATAACAATGTCAGTTACTCGATACAACCGAATGGAATAGTGACCTTATTTATTAGGTGAATTTTTGTATCTCAAATACTAACATAAAATATTATACAGTACCTAAAGGAATTAAACTGGTTTACAAGCAACTTAGCTAACTACTATACAGTACTGTACTGTATATAATTTAGAGCCAAACAATTTAAAAAAGTATACAGTGATATCTCCGTTAGCCGGAACAATTGGTGCAGAGCACTTTCGGAAATGAAAGATTTCCGGGTAACGAGACGACTCTCAAAGCCGGAAAAAAATCCCCCAACCCGAAATTTTCTGATTAACAGAAAAATGCTCTCAGTAGTTCCAGAAAGTGCCCATTACATCATCTCTTGAACCCGGAAAAATATCCCCCATCCCTGGAATTTTCCGGGTATCGGGAAAATTTTCTCGGAAGTTTCCGGAAAATGTGCCCCTTGGAAAATCATTCCGAAAGCCGGAATTTTCCAGAAATTCTGGGTTTGGGAACAATTTCCTGAGAAAATTTCAATTCTAGCTGGTTTGAGGGATTCTGGCTAATGGAGATATTACTAATAATAAAATATAAATTTGGTCCAGTACATTATAAATAAATTAGTTAATTGTACATTACTGTAGTAACATAACAACACAAAACTGAACAAGTGTTTTAATGGAAAATTTCCAGGGTACAGTATTATTTAACATTTTCACTACTACAGGGACACCACTTTTAATGTTTTATTTGGCTAATGATTTTATTCAGCAGAGAGACAACCCCACACACAAGGGGTTAAGGACAGTAATATGGGTTAACCAAGGAAAAATATCTATAGAATAACACAGTACTGTACTGTACTGAAGGACTAGCACTTTCCCTATTCAGGTTTTTGTAGGCAGTTTTTATCCCCATAAAGAAAGATGTTACTGATGGTGCCTGCACTAGCATCAGAATGTGTCATCTTGTTGTCCAAACATTTCATAGATATTAATGATAAAGGTATTCCATTTCACACTCACAAATATCAGACAACAGCAATCTGAAAGAAATAAAATTAGATAGCTAAACAAAAATAAATTATTTTGTTATGTTAAGAATACTACTACTACTACTAATAACCACAAAAGGATGATGGCAAATTAATAATAACAGCTGCAGGTAGAGAGATTTACAGTTTTCTTTATACTTATTGTACTGTACCTGTACAGAAAGTTTAAATACATTACTTTGGTGACAGACATAAACCAACTAAACATTCTCAACACTTAATCATGAATGGAAGTTTATTATTATTTTTATTATTACAGTATTTAAGGCTACTATTAGGTTCGTATAGATAAATAGTAGAACATGCACTCAGAATGGCATCGAAGCAGGAGAGTGTCCACGACGTCTGTCATTGTTTACGGGAAAAACTTGGACCAAAACCTGAATAGGAAAAAAGTTGATTCCTCCACCCAACTGGCTTTAGTCCTGAGGTAAATAACAAGTTTTTTATATTATTTGAGTTTCGGTCATACGGGGAATCTTAGGACTTTAACTACTGGAATCAGTAGTTTTGATGATTCTAAGACACTTTTCTTCTATAGCAGTTCTGTCGCAAATTATTTGGGTTACATTAGGTTAGGTTAGGTCAGCCTAGATTAGGTCTGATTAGATATCCAAGTATATTTTTCCAATGGTTTTTATGTGTCAAACAATCAGGACCTTCATATCAGAAATCACTAGTTTTTGTGATATTCTCTCACCCAAAACCCTGGGTTCTCACTGGGGGCCCCCACTAACATTGGATAAATGGGGGGGGTCACAGAAACTAGTGATTTCCAATACAAATGAAGATCAAAATCAATCAAAATACTGTACAGTATGCCACAAACCGTCGGAAAAAACATAGTTTGGTTATCTAAATACAGGAATGACAGAAACTAAAAATTTTTATTTATTTTTATTTATTTATTTATTTTTTTGTTAGGTGGCTGGACAACCCGGGTGACTCTTCTTAAATTTTACCTTTATTTCTTACATCAAGAATATTCCGTAAAATGACGAGGATTTACAATTATTGTACAATTACTTAAGTGATTTTATCCTGAACAGCATTTCATTCACACTTTCTCACTGCTGCTATATTATATGATTTACTGGAGATGAGATGGTCTAACCTGGCCCAGGTTAGGTTAGGTACGGTAGTTTACATTAGATAGGTAGTTGTGTCAGCATTGAATATTATGTATGCTACAGGTTAGAAGTACAGTAAATCTGCGCTTAACGATGTTTCGGTACTACGTCGCTAAATTTTAGATAACAAAAATTTGTTTAACGTCCCGGTGATCCGATACTACCTTGTTTTGTCGTCACGGACTACTGTCTACGGTGCATCACCTGCTCTTGTCTGGCCGTGCTACGCTCTCTCGGCTTGACGCAGTCTCAGTGACTCACCACGCTCCCCTCCCGCCATACTCCTCCACTCCCGCCATCCGCCTCCTCTGCTTCACTACCCATCACACACTCACTCTACCACCTCCGCCCATTGGTGAGTACCAATACAAACTTAGTAAGAACATAAGAACATAAGAATGGAGGAAACTGCAGAGGGCCTATTGGCCCAAACTGGGCAGTCCCATTTACACCCAACCCCTATTGCTCATATAACCATCCAACCTATGTTTGAAGCTATCCAGCGTATTCGAGTTAATGATGATATTTGGTAACTTGTTCCAGTAGTCCACTACTCTATTTCCAAGCCAATGTTTACCTATTTTGCACCTAAATCTAAATTTGTCTAATTTAAAACCATTGTTACGAGTTCGCTCCTGGTTGGATAGTTTGAGTACCTTTGTAATGTTCCCTTTGTTTAGCCCTGACTTCCATTTATACACCTCGATCATGTCGCCCATCACTCTACGTCTCTCGAGGGATTGCAAATTAAGATGCTTTAACTTGTCTCTGTACTCAAGGTTTCTAATGCCCGGGATTAGTCTTGTCATTCTCCTCTGAATTCTTTACAAGGATACTACATCCATTCTGTAATACGGTGACTAGAATTGAACTGCGTAATCCAAGTGAGGTCTCACGAGCGCAAGATATAGTTTTAAGATGACCTTGCTAGTCTTGTAACTAGCACTCTTTTGTATGAACTCAAGTACTTTATTAGCCTTGTTTCGAGCAAATACACATTGCTTACTTGGCTTAAGATTCCTATTTATCATTACTCCTAAATCTCTCTCGCAGTCGGATTTCTCAATGGCATCGTTGTTCATCTGGTAACTGGTTTCCCTGTTTACATCTCCTATACTGAGTACTTTACATTTGTCCACATTGAATTTCATCTGCCATTTTTCAGACCATTCAAAAAATTTGTTTAGATCTTCCTGTAGTTTTGTGAAGTCCTCGTCAGATTTAATTACAAGCCCTATTTTAGTATCATCAGCAAATTTACTTATGTTGCTGTCTACGCCGATATCTATGTCGTTTATGTATATAATAAATAATAATGGTCCAAGTACTGAGCCTTGCGGAACTCCACTTGTGACGTTGCTCCAATGGGATTTAGTGCCGATAATGCTCACTCGCTGTTTCCTGTCCTGTAACTATACCCTAATCCATATTAGAATATCACCTTTAATGCCATGAGCCTCCACTTTTCTTATTAGTCTTTCGTGGGGGACTCTGTCGAAGGCTTTGCTAAAGTTGAGATATAATACATCATAATTGTGCCCCTCGTCCACTGATTCGAAAACTGATGAAAAGAATGTTAATAGACGGGTAGTTGTATATGCATGCACTATTTTCTATAGAAATGGCAATGATTTTCTGTCCCCTGTATATGTAATGTATTTTATGAGGCAAAGGGAGGCTCAGGAACATAACCCCCATATTTTATCTATTTCTCATGGGGAAAATTTATCCGCTTAACGTTGTTTTCCATGCCGTCGCGTATTTAGGAACGTAACCCCGACGTTAAGTGATGACTTAATGTATTGTACATTAGGGATCATGACGAAAATAACAAAATAAAATTGTATTACGAAAATTGAAAATCATTATCATTTTATGGAATTTTCTTTTGGTAAGAAAAATTTTACCTTCTAAAAAAAATGGTCAAAGGTCCTGGTTAATGTGCAGCATTGTTCCACAGTATTACCACCCTACTTAAACGTTAGAGCCCCAAGACTCAAACATCACGTCTAGTCCACAACTGTGAACACCCAAACGTTTTATAATACTATTAAAAAAAAAAAATTCTCGATTCCCTAAATGTTAATAATAAACTGACATCAGAGTAAACAATACGGTAATTATATAGGACTAACCCACGAGCGAAATTGATTGAAAACAATTATAAAAACGCCGGATTTTCATTGTTATATTATAGTGATCACTGTTGTAGTTTGCGGAAATATGTTAAAAAATTTTATATTTCTAAAATAAACGCAACTTAACATTTGTGGGTATGAAGAACAGACCCAAACAAACAAACAAACAAACCAACCAACCTAACCTTACCTAACTTCCCCGGTATATTAAACAGAAAGAACTTACTATGATATGGTGAAATTTGAGGCATTTTCTGAACGAGAGATGATACAGCCGCATCGGCACTATGCAGCCTGGCGGGTTAGTCCTATATATTAACCAACAATAAAATAGTACAGTACAGACCTCTTATAAGCCACTGGCAGTGTGAGGCCTCAGGGTAGCTCCCCAGTCCATCAGTGATGACGCCCCAAGACCCAGTCAACACACGACGTGTCCGGTTGCAGGAGCTGCCCGCCGACCACTCTAGGGAAGCGACCGCAGCCCACAGGGTGATCCCCACTGCGGCCCTCACCACCCACCATCCCGACATGTCCTCGACTCAGCACCTCACCAACAGGGAAGGTGTGGAGGTTCTGCTCTGGGGTGTGACCGTCCCAGTGTCCCGCTCTCCCCATCACCACCCATGTTGTCTCTCACTAAAACTTTTCGTATTATCCAGCAGTTTATCTGAAGATCATATTGTATGGTGAATCATCATCAAACACTGATAGTACACTCTCCTGACATGTTTGTCACTAAAATATTTTCTATGCGATCCTGTGGTTCATTTGGTCATAACTTTATCAATATATATTCATGACAGATCATCAGACACAATTACTGATCAAATATACCGCCCAGATATGTGATAATGATGTCAGTGGTGATACACTGTACATAGTAACGCTCACTGCTATGCTCCGTCAACCACAAAGCCAAATAAACATTGCTTCACTTCTCTTATTACCAGAGTAAACTTTGCCTCACACACCCCGCCATCACTCCACCACCACCACCAGGGTTTCCAACACCTGTACACAGACAGATAAAGTATCAACTAGGAGGCCAAACAACTGATAAAAGTGAGTGAGTGAGTGTTTGTTTGTGGGGGGTTGTGGTGGTGAGGCTGGCCGTCCACTCACTGAGCCACCCACCTGTCTCACGTCATCACGCTCCAAGTTTAAATGTCTCCCACCACCCATCTACCTCTATATCTACCTGACAGCCTCTCCCACCACCCACCTACCTCTATATCTACCTGACAGACTCTCCCTACCCACCTACCTCTATATCTACCTGACAGACTCTCCACCACCATCTCCTCTATATCTACCCCACGATCAGACTCTCCCACCCACCCATCTACCTCTATATCTACCTGACAGACTCTCCCACCACCCACCTACCTCTATATCTACCTGACAGACTCTCCCTACCCATCTACCTCTATATCCTACCTGAGCAGACTCTCCACCACCCACCTACCTCTATATCCTACCTGACAGCTCTCCACCACCCTACCTCTATGTCTACTGACAGCCTCTCCCACCACCCACCTACCTCTATATCTACCTGACAGCCTCTCCACCCATCTACCTCTATATCTACCTGACAACCCCTCTCCCCACCCATCTACCTCTATATCTACCTGACTGACCTCTCCCACCACCCATCTACCTCTATATCTACCGTAGCCTCTTCCCACCACCCAACTACCTCTATATCTACCTGACAAGACTCTCCCACCACCCATCTACACCTCTATATCTACCTGACAGCAGCCTCCCACCACCCATCTACCTCTATATCTACCTGACAGCCTCTCCCCACCACCCACCTACCTCTTTATCTGCCCGACAGACTCCCCACCCACCTATATCTACCTGACAGACTCTCCCCACCCACATCTACCTCTATATCTACCCACGAGCAGACTCTCCCACCACCCATCTACCTCTGTATCTACCTGACCCAGACTCTCCCACCACCCATCTCTATATCACTACCCTGACAGCCCCACCACCACCCATCTCTCTATATCACTACCTGATAGACTCTCCCACCACCCACCTACTACTCCTATCTACGACAAGACTCTCCCACCCCTCCCTCTATATCCTGCCTGACGAACTCTCCCACCACCCATCCTACCTCTATATCTACCCAGCCAAGACTCCCCACCCCACACCTACACTCTATATCTACCTGACAGACTCTCCCACCACCCACCTACCTCTATATCCTACCTGACAGCCTCTCCCACCACCCATCCCCTCTATATCTACCTGACAGACTCCCACCCACCCATCTACCTCTATATCTACCCTGACAGACTCTCCCACACACACCCCATCTACCTCCTATATCTACCTGACAGCCTCTCCCACCACCCATCTACCTCTATCTACCCCTGACAGACTCTCACCACCCATCTACCTCTATATCTACCTGACAACCCTCTCCCACCCATCTACCTCCTATATCCTACCTGACAGCCTCTCCCACCACCCCACCTACCTCTTTATCTACCTGACAATCTCCCACCCACCCACCTACCTCTATATCACCTGACAGACTCTCCCACCACCCATCTACCTCTATATCTACCTGACAGACTCTCCCACCCACCCATCTACCTCTATATCTCCACCTGACAGACTCCCACCACCCATCTACCTCTATATCCTGCAAACCACCTTTCCCCACCCATCACCTCTTCTATCTGCCTGATGGAGCTCTCCTACCACCCACCCTGCACTCTATATCTACCCTGACAGACTCTCCCACCACCATCTACCTCTGTATCTACCACAGACTCTCCCACCACCCATCTACCTCTATATCTGCACCTGACAGACTCTCCACCCACCCACCTACCCTCTGCCTCTACCCTGACAGACTCTCCCACCACCCCACCTACCTCTATAGCCTACCTGGCCCTCACCCCACCACCCATCTACCTCTATATCTACCTGACAGACTCTCCCACCACCCATCTACCTCTATATCTACCTGACAGAGCTTTCTCCCACCACCCATCTACCTCTATATCTACAGCAAGCCTCTCCCACCACCCATCTACCTCTATATCTACCTGACAGACTCTCCCTACCCATCTACCTCTATATCTACCTGACAAACTCTCCCCACCCATCTACCTCTATATCTACCTGACAGACTCTCCACCACCCATCTACCTCTATATCTACCTGACGGCCTCTCCACCACCCATCTGCCTCTGCTCATCTGCCTGACCAAGCTCTCCCCACCACCCCCACCTCTATATCTACCTGACAGCCTCTCCCACCACCCATCTGCCTCCTATATCTACCTGACAGCCCTCTCCCACCACCCCACCCCCAGCCTCCCCCACCCATCTCTACCTCTGCCTCTACCTGACAGCCTCTCCCACCCCACCATCTACCTCTACCTGACAGACTCTCCCACCACCCATCTACCTCTATATCTACTGACAGCCTCTCCCCACCACCCACCTACCTCTATATCTACCTGACAGCCTCTCCCACCACCCACCTACCTCTATATCTACAGCCCTCTCTCACCACCCATCTACCTCTATATCTACCTGACAGACTCTCCCACCACCCATCTATCTATATCTACTGACAGACTCTCCCCACCCCATCTACCTCTATATCTACCCCTGACAGAACTCTCTCACCACCCATCTACCTCTATATCCTACCTGACAGCCTCTCCCACCACCCATCTACCTCTATATCTACCTGACAGCCTCTCCCCACCATCTACCCCTCTATATCACCTGACAGCCTCTCCCCACCACCCATCTACCTCTATATCTACCTGACAGCCTCTCCCACCACCCCATACTCTACTCTCTACTGACAGACTCCCACCACCCACCTACCTGACCAGCCTCTCACCCACCCATCTTTACTCTATATCTACCCTGACAGCCTCTCCCACCACCCCATCTACCTCTATATCTACAGCAGACTCTCCCACCCACCCACCTACCTGACAGCCTCTCTCTACCCATCTACCTCTATATCCTACCTGTTGAACTCTCCCACCACCCACCTACCTGACAGCCTCTCTCACCACCCATCTACCTCTATATCTACCCACAGCAGACTCTCCACACACCACTCCACCTCTATATCTACCTGACAGACTCTCCCACCACCCATCCATCTCTTAACCTTACCTAACATAACCCACCTAACCACCCCCAGAGGTCGTTAGTGTGGTTTAATAATCAGCTGGTGTGTCTAATCTTCAGTTAACTCCAATTAAGCTAACATAGTTAAATGTCCAATAACTTAAATAAAATATGAAAAATAAACCGTACAATTATGTATTTGTTTTTTAACCACTCCAAATCTGACATAATGTAACCTAATCTTAATTAAATTCAATGTAAGATAAATAAATTGAACATTTTTGACAGCTATAGTTAAAACAACCTAACTCAATGTTATGTAAGTTATTGGAGAGTTAATACAAGCGACGAAACCTAACCTAACTTAATCTAAACTCACATAATCTAATTCTTAACTGAATTCAAGGTAAATAAAAATAGACTCAATATTTCTAATTCAGAAAAAATTCTTATATATATATATATATATATATATATATATATATATATATATATATATATATATATATATATATATATATATATATATATATAGATCTAAAAGACATTCTCTATGTAACAAATTGAAATATTTAGATTAAGATCATTTATATTAATGATAATATTTGGACGTGTATAGCACTAAATTCATGTTTTTTACTTCAGGATTAACGATGTGATGCTTATGACTTATAAGTATAATTGTTCATAAAAATATATATATTATTTAAATTAATGACGTTCGTGCTAATAATACAACATGAATCTATGAACAGTATTACCTTTGCATAATTTACTCTTTTATCATAATTTGGTCCCAGATTTGGTGCCTAGCATAAATTCAAACAAAATGGATCTTTAGCATAATTCTAGCATAATCCTGCTATGTCTGGAATAAATATAGAATATTTTTTTTTTGCAGGCTCAAAACTCTACATTTCACTGTTCCACTGTAAGGGGCATAGAAATTGGGAAGAAAAAAGACTCGCCATGCATAATAAAACATAGTATTGCCGAGTGTACATTGTAAACCTATAAACATACAGAGAAAAAAATTTCTATATGGGATTAGTTGGTAACTTAGGAGCTCATGGAGATGCTAGGCATCTCTCTCTCTCTCTCTCTCTCTCTCCTCTCTCTCTCTCTCTCTATATATATATATATATATATATAAATCACTGTAGGTGCGCGTGATCTAGGTATATGCTGATAACCACAAGAAAGAAAGAAAACACAAAGTTCCCAAGCGCTTTCGTGTAATTCGTGTATTTCATCTCTTTCAGAACTATCTATGCAGTGTATCATGTAGCCTGTGCTATATATTTAAGTTATATATTTTTCTGACTTATTTTTGTGTTATGATTATTTACCTTCCTTAAAATACTTCAAATATATTTTGTGTAATCATATTTACTCAAAGGTATTAGATTAATGTATAAAAAATAAATGGCAAGTCTGCATATAGTTAGCATAAACTAATTTTCCTGTGGCATATTTTGGGCTGTTAGCACATTGTCAGAACAAACTTAGCATATGTTCCTCCTGCGATTTGGTAACACCTCACAGTGCGCGGGAACCTTGTACCACGTAGTGAAGAAAAAGATGCTGCTACGTATTTACTTTAACCGGGTTTTATTAAGTGTAGTACATCAGTGCAAGTAACAATAGTATAATAATACTTTGATAATGTGCCAACAAAAGGACTTAGACTTTAGATAGAGGATGATAAACAGAACTGTGAAATAAGGCAGTTTGTCAACCGCTTCTTTCATCAAATGAGTGACTTTACTTCTACATTTTATATTTATCTTCCTATTGAACACCCTGGCATTTTACGAACTTTGCTTCTATACATACCAGGAGTAGGACGTGTAGAACCACAAATTCGGAAAAATGTGAGGACACTTTCAGAAGAACAATCTGCAATGCACAGTACGTCTCCTACTTCTATATCTGAGAACACTTTCACGTTAAACTCAACATTCTTGAATAGTCATTATTTTG